ATGAAATATATAGACTATAGAACATAAGAACTTTTCTACAGTGCCTATAGTAGATTTTTGGTAAATAAGGAATATAATTCAATAGATGAATTCCGCAATATTAATGAATGTGATATGAGAATCGTTTTGGCAGGACAGGAGCATGGGTAAAGATTTCTAATCGAGTGGTTCAAGAATCTAATAATATATAGATTTCCAAATAATCTTTTCTCTTGTATTAGAAGTGTTGAAAGTAAGGACTAATGAATATAGTCAAGTTACAAAATTGCGTATGTCCCCAAGTCATAGGCACATTTCTGCGTAAGTCACAGTGTGTCATTATGACGTCACATGTCGACGTCATACAATTTAATTTAAATCCGGCTACGACTAAAATACTGAACCATGGGAAATTATTGACTCTCAATGGCATAAAAATATCATTTTTTTCTGTTTTTCTCAAAACCTTCAAAATTGACTTGCGCAATTTGGTTATTAGCGTGACGATATGACAATTGTGTGAGGTTATATAAAATTTGCGAAAACGTCAAAAAATGTTACATAATTTCTATTTTAAAGAGACAGACTCAGTTGCATAATTTAATTAGCAGACTCCATGCTGGTGCTTGAAATTAATTGTTTGAAGCATAAATTATGTGGTCCAAAAATTCTATAATAAGGAAGTTTTCAGCACAATTGTTACACGATTGGAAGTTGAAGACAACATGATGTTCAAATATCAAGCTATTTGGAATGAAATTTGCGATAAATTTACTATAGAGATCAGCGTTGACACGCATTACAGGTTTATGAAAACGTATCACAAAACATTTACCGGATCATCAGCAATTGGTGCCATGCTTCGAGTCTTACGATCTATGCCACATTTCGAGAACGTAACGGCGAAACAGTCTAAGTTGATTCTCAACAAATTATTACAAAGTAAGGTTATCGAAAATGTTAAACAACAGGGTAAAGTTAAAAAATTTTCAACAAAACATTTATACAGGTTTGTAAGAAAATTTTGTACATTAAACTATGTTACATTCCATTATCTACTAGTCAATATGAGGAAAACGCCTATTGTTCACAAAAATCAGTAGGTAAATAATTAATAACGTAGCTAAAACTATGGAAAATGGACTTCAGTGGTACCCAACTGATAATTCCGGAATTCAAAAAAAAAAAGATCGCACGCCACTATCTTCAAAACCTAATTAATTATTCATTTTACGTGAATTGTGTACTTCGTGAAACTTTAGAATTATTGTTTGGCATGGTGTTCAACGAGGATTCGAAATTTTTACTGTGAATGTCGATATTATATCGGGATACAGTGTTAATTGTTTGCTAATTGTCAGGTCAACGTTCCGTTCATTAAAGCCAATATTATAATACTTAAATGTATGGAAATATAAGACACGTATTTTTTCAGATTCTGCAATATAAAATTCAGCGATCAACCAGAAATTATGAATTTATTAAACACGATCGTGAAGGTTGGCACTATGATTGATATTATCGATGGGGAAAATAGCAGCCATGAATAAAATAATGAGTTAAATCGGTGTTAGCTAATATTTTTTTTATGCCTTTCTGTTATTTGTTCATTTCTAGTCAGTGATGTTGCTATGTAGTTAGAATTTAGATAACACTTTTCTAAGTATTGTTTGATCGCAACGGTGATGTTTAATTGATGAAATATGATTTTTGATAAATCATATTTCCTGTTGTTGTATTTCATATGGGGTAATTATGGTGATGGTAGTGTAGTGCAGTGGTTCCCAAACTGTGGGTCGCGACCCCGAATGTCGCGTGACGATTTTCCGGGGTCGCTTAATTTATGTCAAACATGCGCACACGAGTGAATAGCATTTGAAAGTCGGAATAATAAATTTGTGTTGGTCGGCATGTATCGTAAAAGTGCTTAACATCGGATTTTTCTGCAATAATTCGACCATTTATTGTCCGAACGGCCCAAAATTGCTCGAGAAAACTTTCATGTGGTACTCAACCTTTCGAACTGGTCGAAAGGTACCGGTATTAGAAAATGTAATTGGATGATAGTGTTACAAGCGCCAATAATATTTCTTTTTTCATAGCTATTTTGATCATGTTACATCCGAATGAGTAATTGTTCCGCTGGTACGCGAATCGGATTTTTTGCCAGGATGCGAGAAATTAAGTTGGGTATTATTTTGTATCATGGTAGCCGATTGGTGGTTATCGAATATACCAAGCAACGATTGGCCCTCAAATTAGGCGTTTGATAAGTACTGTATTGATTGCCTGGCGGCGGCTTAGCCGAGTAACTATACTTTAAGTAGCGCTTTGTTCGCGCACGTGTCTAAAATGGGCTACGTGTTTTGTCCACACCGCCCCCGCATGAAAGTAAATATTTTCGTGTTGCAATATTACGTAACTAGATGTTTATACATAATTTCGAAGCGTTCCGAACAGTCAAACATAATAAGTTATAGCATAATAAAACGCCTCTAAAACATGTGATTCCGTACACGTTGTTCCCCCATTTTACTTTCATGCTCTGTTTTACTTTCGAATTAATAATGGAGCAATCTGTAATATGTGAACATTAAACTAAAAATAAAAAGGACACTTTAGGAATATACTACCGCTAAATAATGTTTTAACTTTACATATATTCAGAAGCAATCTTACAATATTTCCGAATTATCGTACGCTTCCATACAATCTACCAAATTTTATCGAGTCCGTCTATGTTTCGCCAAAGAACCATTATACTTCGGATCTAAGAGATTCAACGTCCACTTGCAGTCGATATACAGTTGGTAAATTGTTTACATTGAGGTAATTAAACTGATATACAGTACTATTATTTGTATGTTCTCAACGTTACTAGTTGTGGGGTCGCGAGTATCTGTGGGCTTTGATTTTATGAAAATTTGAGTCGCGAAAAAAAAAGTTTGGGAACCACTGGTGTAGTGTATGCTCTGTACTTGCATTACGCGATGAGAAATTGGAACGACAGAACTTTAACACTCAGTGCTGTGAAGATATATGTTTGTTTGTTTGATTCCAACACGTGCCCTATTGCCATGAGAAATCAGTTATGATAACCATTAAACTTTAACGGTATACTGAAGTTTTATGAAATACGTGGTATATTCTGAGATACATGCGAACATTCTGAAGAAAGTAAAGTAGCAACAAACAGACAAAAACTATTCAGCCAAGAATTAATCAAAAAATCATGTGCAACACGGAAAACGAAATCTATTTGATGGGTTGCAACAAATGTGTGCCATGCAATACACTGGAAAAACAGGAAGGCATCTAAAATATCAGATCAATCGAAAGACAAAGACCTGGTCGTCGGTGCTGACTTCAACCAACCTGGGCATTCACCCAAAGACTTTAGTGTAATTACTAGGGCTGGGAATGATTAATCGGTTAACCGATTTTAGATGGTTAACGGTTACGATTTATTTTAACCGTTAACTGACATGCCAGGCATGAATCATCTTTATAATGTACAATTTCTTCAAAAATGATTAGTTCATCGCAAATTTATCTCCCGTGGCGTGTAATTGAAAAAACGATAAATTCAGAATCAGTTTTTGGTCAAAATATATTGCTCACGATATTATTGCAAAAGGGTTAATGTCACCCCGTCAATGTCATTCTGTTGTAATTTGAAAATAAGTTAAAATTGTTCAGCGACTTTTGCTTTCTATTTTGGCAGTAGAACGATTAAATAATGTAGATTATGGCTGCCCCACTTAAGCCTAGTTTAATGATATTTTATGAGCAATAGATTGCCTTTGTGATTGTTTTTACAGTTATAGTTTGTTTAATTGATTTGTTCGGATTTCATTGACGAATGATTTCATGTTCAACTTATGATAATTTAAGCCTGGAATAGCAGATAAATTCGGTATGTTATAATTGTAACTCTTTCTGATTTGAAGGCTGCAAGTTATTTAATAGTAATTTGGTTGGACTTGTTAATTAACCATGTTTGATAAATGTGTTCATAAATTTGAGTAGGCTTTCTAAAGGCCGAATTGTGTATGATTATTTATTTATTGCAAGTATTTTGTATTGATTTGTTTTTACGTTTGTATTAAGATAACCGTGTCAACTGTATACTTCGAGTTGTGTGATTTTCTGGATTAAAGATACAAACTTGGGGCTTGAAAGACCGCGTTATTACTTATCGATTTTAATAAGATTCGTATGGCGAAGGGATTGGAAATACTCACACGTATCAAACAAATTATGTGTATATACCAACAAAAAACATTTGGACCTCCTGAAGTATGCGCACAAAGATGGCGCACAACCTGAACTCAGGTTGTGTACTAGATTATGGTTCAGGTTGTGCAATATCTTGGTGAGCATACTTAAGGAGTACCAAACCCTTTATTCAACAAAATATAACTAATAAAAGACATTGATCTCATTGGCGGCCCGAGTCCTTCTACAAAAACCCGATGCGACCGCTAAGTGACAATAGCTGTAATCCCCCGGATTAGAACAACTTAAGCAGGGGTCGGCAACCTACGGCCCGCGGGGCAATACAATCCGGCCCGCGACGCTTCACTGAATTATACTATAGTAACAAATTATAGCTGTGTTGTCGATTATATTCTTTACGCAAAAGAATTTACGTGTAGACTAAATTATATTATAACGTAAGTATATAATTCACAATTACTCGTTTAATGAGCCTATAATTTAATTATAATTTAGACAAATGACAACAAAACGCAGAAAAGTTGATGCTAATTGCAAATGGTTTAATGGCGCAAAAAATATTCAAATGGTCAGTCTGCGCACGCTGCTTAAAATTTAACTTCTGATCTGTGTGATAAAATGTGATTCATCGATCATCAATTCGATTTTTAACATTCTAAAAATATGTGCGCCCGCTAATGACTTGCAATCTTTAATTTTGGCCCGCGAGCGACAAAAGGTTGCCGACCCGTGAACTAAAGCTTCAAGATGAGCATTGAGACTAAAAAACACTGCAGGCATTTAAAATATATTCATCATGTAATATCAGGTCCTTGACCAATTGTTTTTAAACATTCATCAGCAAATTCAACAAATATAGGTTCCTGCATTAAGTTTGACAAATGTTCCTCTTTGCACCCGCTTTTGTCCATTTCACACAAAATAGTTCTCAAGTGGGGATTTTTCAGCAAATCTTTCAATGCAATTGATGATTTCAAGTTATTTAAATCTGCAATCGATATCTTATCACAGTCATTATCATCATCCAATGAGGTTTTTTGATGTATTTCTGGAGTTTTTGGATATGGATTTTGTTTTGGTTTATTACCTTCACAATTGTTATCTTCCTTGTGTGACTTATAACAATTGACAGAGCAATATTCAGTGTCACATTTTGGACACTTGTATTTCGACACTGCAGCTTGGCATATCTTGCACAGACCTTGTATTTTCATATTGTTATTTAATTCTATTTGTTAGGTTAAGCAACTGAAAAAGAAGCAAATACGATTAAAATGGCAGCACAAACATTATCCATGAAAAATATGATAACCCAATAGGTGTACAGTTTTCAATGAAACGAAATATTTTTATACATGATTTGTTAGTGAATTGAACTAAAATATCTGCTTGTAGCACGTGATGCTAATAGGTGTGTTCGATAATAAGGTGTGGGGAGCATAAAGGGAAATTGCCCTCATGGATCAGGGCCTCATAAAACTCCTCATAATATTGGTTTTGTTTCGAATTGAAACCATCATATCGCACACGATTATTCATAGTGACATAAACAGTATATGTTAACTCACTATTCTTGAAAATATGCATGGGCACATTCATTATTTTGCAAAATACATTTCAAGTTGAGCATAATATTAAGTATCGAGTCAGAAAATATGAATGCAAATTATTATTACCAGAAAATCTGTGAGGATTAAGTTTGACATATGCTGCTGCCATTCTATGTAATGGTGTCAATTTTGAGTTATTGGTTGATGCTTGATGGTGATGAAACATTGCGATTGTTTTGCCCATCTTAACCCCATGCCTAATCTTAAGGTTGTAAACTTCGCTGCAATATAGTCTTGGATGAAACAAAATCTGACAGCAAAGAGTTGGAAGAAAAAAAAAAGGCATTAACTACATAAAACATATTAATAAATTAATATGATTTATAGTGGCCCAGCCTGAACAACTGTGCTCTACCTTTGTGATTTCCCACCATGAAGTATCCACTATTGGGAGAAAAATCAATTTTCCGTGGCAATTTTAAATTATTCTTTTTACCAGGGAAATTTGAAAACACTGTATGTGATGGTAGATGTATCAGTTTTAAAGCATTTTCAGCTTCACTAGATGCCATTGCAAGTATTTCAGATGTGGGATTATATTTCAACAAGTCGACAGGATATCTCAAGTTTTTAATGGTTCCAATAGGCTTTGGATTTTCTGTACTGAAGCAAAGTTCATCATACACATTCACAAACCCGCTTCTTGAACCACAGGCAACATACTTTCCATTCGGAGAAGTTGCTAGTGACGTGCCGTTTGTACAACCTTCATCATAGAAGGAATGAAAGCATGAGTGAGACCGTATATCCCACATAGTAACTATTCCTTCATCTCCAAATGCGAAAATGTTCTGGCCTTCTTTAGAAAAAGTCACGTCATTCACATTACCATTAACTTTAATCGTCCTTATCAATTCCTTAGTTGAAGAAGAAACTATGTGCATGTGACCGTATTTTGATATAAAAACTAAATGCTTTCCATCTGGAGATACTAGAAATCTTGTTAATGATCTATCTTCTGTTCCTTTAATGTTTGGTATTTTGATAATTTTACCAGAAATCATGTCATAACTATAAAACCAATGGCAACTTGAAGTCATTAAAATTTCTTCACCTGACGTGAGAAAGTGGGCACATTTAATTGGAAACTGTTCAACAAAAAAACTGTGAATTTTTTGATTGCATTTCCCGTCTACCTGGAACAAATTGAGCCTGCAATCAGATGCTGCAGTCAGAGCTAGCTGGGCACTTTTATGGAACTCACAAGCTTCCAAGGCTTTTTGTGATGGTTGCTGTTTGTTTACATCTGCACATCGGTTTATTTCTAAAACACTTTTGGATAGATGTTGGGATGCCGTGACATAATCATATCTAATAGTCAATAAATCTTCTTCATCTTTCTCCAATTTGCTATTGACAGAAACTAATTTTGACCATTCAGGAGCTTCACCGACAGTTTTTTCATATTCAGTTTTCCGATCACTTTTCAAAAGAGGTTGAAATCGCATATTTCCGAGTCCAGGTCCTTTCGACTTTTTATTTTTTGTCTCTGGTTCTACAGTAAAGTCATCATCATCATTCCATGCAGCAGTTTGGCTTGTTTCACCAGAAGTGCTCTTCAATTTGTCAATATAAAAACCACAAGTGGTTTCTTTTTCATCAGAACCTTCTACAGTTCCACCAAACACAACTTCTTCAAGATAGGCTTCATCGCCATCATCACTATCATCTGAGAAACTGATAATCTTTGTCTCTCCATCTACCACAGTTTTCTTATTAGAATCAAATTGTATATCATCTGTATATTGCCGTTTTAACGACATTTTAAATTGCACACAACCTGGTATTGAACAACAACAATGATATTAAATTAAGTAAAAAGAAACATAAAATGGCCCACGCAAACCTTGAATTGATGAAATAGAGTTTATGATAATCCAAATTGCATAACTGAGTAGCGTATACGACACAAAGCATGATGGTTTCATAACAGCTACGGTACCATATGCAGGTACGGCCTCGTATGGTTATACGAGTACCATATGCTGCTGGTTCATTTTCAATTAACAAATTTGTGATTCTGATTGAGACAATGATCGAATATTTTTGCCTTGCTCACAAATCTGCAAAGGCTAAACTGATAGTTTATTTTGAAAACTCCATAATACAGTAATAAACACAAATTAAAAATGAAGAATTCTGGAGAGCGGACAAAACATTTAAAAAAAGTTTTAAACATGAGAAATGTCACGTGCCCGCCCACCAACAGACACACCAAAAAAATTAGACTACAAAAAACAAAGATATGTAACTGTATTAAACTTTTGGGCTGTTATCCTTTATTAAAACTCTTGAGCTAAAACAGTAATAATGACTACTTCAATCTGATACAGTTTATTCAGTTATCTGTATATGACTTAATTTAAATGTCTTGAAAGTATGGAAATATAAATTCAATTTTCAATCATATGAAACTTAGACTGATATAGCAATATACAGATATATGTTGTTAAATAAAGTAATGTTTATTTTGCTCCATGTCTCAATTATATTGCGATAAACCGAAATTCGAACCTGGTGTCAAATGTAAATCGTGATCAACGAATAATATTATTTCCAACTTTCAGAAGAATTTTACAGTATGATCTATTGATCATCATCTGTAGCCAAAAATAGTACCGGTAACGTTACCTACACATATTAATTCTGTAAACTTCCGTTCGTCATTTTTTTGACCTCCAATATTCTTTTTCCGACCATGCAGACATGCACAAGCACGTGGTTATATCGAGAGACAAGGTACCGGTACTAAGAACGGCACAGGAATTGGATAGCCTAGTCTTCTACAAAATGATGCCAAGTAAACTCCATTTAAATTCAACTCTTTGACTTGCAAATTACAGCCTTCTGGCCTTTGGCAGCCTAGCGCAGCAGCGTCTAGTGCCGTAACAGACATGCGTGGATTTCTGGAAGGCAGACTGGCCATATTTTGCGGTAACAAGTGATAGAACTGATAAGTATGGAGTGGAGTCTCAATATGTGACCGGGTTTTTCCCAACTCATAAAAATCTTGCTCATTCAAATTTCTTTTTGTGGCTTTATAACCCCCCCCCCCTCCCCCTTTCACTCATTCTTTTATTCATGCTTCATTTATTGATGTTACCGTTATTAGTCGATATAAAACTAAATACGGAAACATTCAACTACTGAAAATAATTATGAATACGGGTATAATATAAATTTATACTTCTTGAAAATCAAGTCCATGCTTCCGAAAACAAATAACTAAGGGCCAGTTCACATATGTTCACACTATTGCGTTGACGCATCTTAAAACCTTGTTTATTTAACTTAATCGTGCGTTGCTGCGTTAACGCATTACTGACCTTTATTAACTAGGCGTAAAATGGCCTGATCGATATCCAAGATGAAAGAAGACTCTTCCAGCTCCTCTTGCACTTGGCTATGATCTTGGATGTCACCCTCGTTTTCATATACTACGAGGGTGAGATCTTCTGGCACACTGCTAGATGTTCTAAAATTAAGCAGGGGCCATATGTTACCTCATACTCATTACTTAGTGAGGCATCTTTGTTTTTTACAGGTCAATGATGATTACAGGATGGGAAAAGCAAGTTTTCAGTTTATTGTTGTTTCAAATAAAGGAGTTTTGTTTCTATGAAAGTGTCATTTCATTTTATTGACATATCAGTATGCTTAGTGGGGCTGACGGACAACTCGACTACACGGACAACTCGACTACCTAGAGGCCTGGTGAGTTGTCCGTCTTTTGGCATTTTCTACGGTGGTGTTTTAGGTCTATAGAAATGCGTATTTGATGCCAAAAGACGGACAACTCACCAGGCCTCTAGGTAGTCGAGTTGTCTCTGGTGAGTTGTCCGTGTAGTCGAGTTGTCCGCCTCCCCTTAGTGGAGTGTATGACATGGAATATTTTATGAAGTTTTATTCAGTCTTTGTAAAAATTAAAATAGGGCTTTTGTGGTAAAGAAATACGGTATAGGTAGAGTAAAAATGTTTTCCCTACCTCCTGCTTTCGCAGTACGAGTTTAAAAACTCTAAACTACCCATAAACTCCCATTTTTTTACATCCACCCCCTGCCCCACTCCTACTCTCAAACGCCTCTCTTTTCTCTCTCCTGAACCTATCTTTCAACGACCTCCACCTTGTCTTGCATTCTTTCACTGCTGAAACAAGAATACCGGTACTGTTATTTTCGGTTGCATTTGACTTAAAGTGACTGTCCTCTCCAGTCTCCGAAGTGCGAGATAAACTTACCCCCCATTCTGCCATTCCCATTTCCTCGCCAACCTCTATCCACGCTTTTTCCTTCAAAATTTTGTTCCAGTAATCTACCGCCCCAACCGCCCACAAACAATCCTTCTCCCTAACCAACTCTATTAATTTCGCAACTTCCATTTTTCGGTTTTGGGTAATTAATAATTGGTTAGGTTTTCGATAGTTAAATTTATTTCGCAGATGACACGAAATTTCCCCGCCATTGTTACGTAACAAGTGAACCGTAGCACGCTGCGTTAACGCATTCGAAGTATGAACACCCTCAACGCAATTGCGTTGGATTCAGGGTGGCCATATTGGCTTTTTTAACGCCAAATTTGCCATTTTTGGCCTTTTTCAAACACGTTTGGCGTCAGAATTTCTGTTTGGCTTTTTGGCGTTTTTTGGCTTTTTTAAGCCTATTCTAGTGTCTATACAATAGCCTATTACCAGTACCGGTACTTGGCGACTTAACATTTGGATTTTCCCGAGCATCGATTTCCTTGTTTATTACCTTAACGCTTAACCATACCCAATAAGAAATAATTGCAGTTTCTGCAGCCTCTCAGACCGATGTTCAAGCAGGGTTGTAAACATTGCCTTGTTTTTATAGTTTTGCGTATTATTTGTCAGTTTTTAGTTCTGTTTCCAAAAAAAATTTGGATAACTTAATTGTCATTATGCTTTCCGAGGAGCTTCAGTTTAGTTGCAGTAATCAAAATTTAGTCTCACGAACGATGTGATTAACTACGCTAAAATTACTGAATTAGCTATCACCTGCAGGCGGCAAGTGGTTAGATAATTTTTTAATAAAATTAATGGTTTCAAAATTTAAAAAATTTGCAATAGTAAAGTACGATATAGGGAGATTTTTTAAGGCATATCACAAGTTTAAGTAAAAACATGTAGATATATCACATACTGAAGCGGCACCCTGTATTATTGAATGGTAATATATTGCTGACCGCTTGATGAATACAGTAATATAATGCTGCCCGCTTGATATTTCTTTTTATTTAGTTCTTTAACTTTTTGACTGTTCCATATAGATGTCAGCTTGACTGTATTGTGTCGAATGTAGATTCTGGTGCTGCCATTCAATTAATCCTTTTTACTTTTAAACCCTTCACCCCGCTGAAGTGGAAATTGCCATGATAGCAACCGGAAATACAATTTTCAATGGGAAAAGACATTTGTGTGGCTCACTAAATTAACTGATAGCTCTACATCAGCATCAGTATTGTGCCAAAGACTTAAAATATGACAAATCATGGGGCTTTTGTACTTAGTAAAATTGTTGGCTTTTTCTGGCTTTTTTTTATGTTTCGATTTGGCTTTTTTTGATCGCTGGGATCTGGCAACCCTGGTCGGATTCCGTTCCCAACGCAACGCAAACCTATGCGTCAGTGTGAACGGGCCCTAACTAATCCCATTTCCGACATGGAATGGTAACCGGACGAGAAGCCGTGGTTTGCCATAACGTTAGGCCGTCTTGTCGGCTTTCCATTCCCCAGAATAAATATGTAAACCCTTTCCTATCCTGGGTTATCCTATCTTGCAAATAAAGTGTCTAAGTCTAAGAGCTGAAATTCAATTGTTACATCACCGTTGACTTACTCGCGATTAGCCATTGTTACGGATATAAACAAGGAAGTCGATGCTTGGAATGAATATACACTGGTTGGTAAGGCCTGGGATGACTTGTTTAAAACTATTTTGCTGCCTCTTTCCGTTTATTTTAACACTTGTATCTGCGGTGTCAGACAAATCGGATAACGTTACAATAATCGTTCTTCACGATTTTCGTGACATCAACTTTCGAAAGCTATTAGACGCGACTGAGAGTTTAGTCAATGTGAAGTTTTCCACCAAACTCAACCTGCACTGTGAAGACATTTTCTTAGACAACCATAATGACGTAACCGGTCGGCATTTGTTCAACGTGGGGGAATGGCTACGTAAGAATAGAAAAGTGGAGGCGGTTGTAGGACCGACAGATTCAGATGGAGTTCTATTATTTCACCCACATGCCGTTCTGCTTCGAGCCCCACATTTCGCCCCAGTGGCAACCGATCCAATATTTGAATCAACTGACAGATTTCCATTCTTAATCAGGATGCAGCATGATTATCGACATCAGGTAAGTTCTTTGGTTTGCTATTTATATATCCATTATATTCCCCTTTTCTTCTTCTCAGGGTTTCCATTGGACAAGCATAGGCATAAGAGATTAGGGCTTGGCGAAAGCTTGTTAAGTTGCATTTACCTAACTGAATAATATCCATTTGATGCGATGTGATGTCTCGACCAGAATACATCTGCAAAAATTATGTGGTAATTTTTTACGCGCAAATAATATACTAATGCCTTTATTGTTTTACCATTCCTAATGCCATCCACTGTATGGCGGCTGGCAACGGTCTTTTTTCATCTGCATGACAACTAGATTTGAGGTACCATTTTGCAAAAGAAATATATTACTACTTATGGATTTTTCTAACTTACCTGAAAACTGCTTGTCTGCCTGGCAAGTGTATGCAAAAAAAACCACACCGCGCAATTTTTTTATTACATTCATATTCTAAAATATCTCAACCTCTGAGATGATGAACGTAAAACTAAGATTGCACAACGCGCGGCATCGAGCTGTGGTGCATTTGACCAAAATTCCCGTAAAAGTCAAACATTAAATACTTCGTACTCGCTTGCAAACAGTTCGTCAACAATAACGGCCTGAATAGGTGAATCAGAAATGTTGGTCGATGAATATCGGTCTGTTTAGTTTCTTTTGGCGCGAAAGTATATATCACCAGAAGAGAGAAATACAAGAAAAAATATAATTTCTATGCTTGGTTAATGGACAGATTGGCCAGTAAATCGGCGACGATCAAAATGAAATGTAAATTACCGAAGCATAGAAGGCACGCAGCTTACAGCGATTTTCGTTGACAGAGGCCATCGTTCAAATTGATTAACAGCTCATCTCCGAGAAAGAAAGTTGGCAAATTAATCCCGGTGCTTTCGTAAGGTTCTCTGAAAGCACTTGACATGGCGATCGAAAGCAATGAATTTTCTGTCCTAATTTATAATTTCATATTTTGATAATCCATACTGATAGTTTGATCACAGCGTAAATAAAATGGTCAGGAGCCTCGGTGCCCTGTAAATATTCACTCTACTGTATTTCTATAAAAATCTATATATTGTTCTTTCTTAACATTGTTTTGTGGAAATAAAATCTCTCTCTCCCTCTCTCTTAGTAAATATACCAATTGACGCAAGACTTGAAGCAGTTCGCATGATTAGGATACATAATAAATTCACAGCTCCAGGCGGATGGACAGATATATGAGAAGCCGCAATCCAATAAAATATAATACTCCTTAACAAAAGCTTGCATGATGAATCAGGCAATGTACCACAAATCAGTGATCTTTTGTCTATATACTTGTTAGGTTATAATATAATTTAGTGTCTCAAAATAAGTTCTGTCACGTAAGGAAATAAGAATATAATCGTCAATACAGTTGTTTTGTTGATATAATTCAGTGAAGCGTCGCGGGCCGGATCCAGCCCGCGGGCCGTAGTTTGCCGACCCGAGACTTACACTAATATATCACTTGAAAATTTCTCTGTATTTCATAGCTAAGCGTGGGTTGGGGGCGCCATTGCACTGAAAATAATTCCGTCAGTCTACATTAGAAATGCGTTAACAAACTGAAATCTAGCTGGGAATTTATACCTAATTAGATTAACTGTGAATTATAGTTATTGCTGTTACTAGGGTCCAAGTACGGTAATTCCGAGTAACGCAATGCCATCTGTGCCTCAAAATTTTCGAACACGTTTTCTCAGATTAATTTGCTTAGTATACATGAGGCAACTCGCCCGAAAATGATGTTCCAATCAAGATAGTACCATGTTTCTCCGAAAATAAGACCTACCCTGAAAATGAGACCTAGTCAATAACGCGAATTTTTTTTTTTTTGACTTTTTTTTCGATATCAAGAAATCTCTCCTACATATAAGTAAATGGATATCAGTTTTCATATTTGTAGGCTATATATATATATTTTAAAATCTCGTAATTTTTTGCTTTGTGATTTTGATAAATGAAATTATAAGACATCCCCCGAAAATAAGCCCTAGTTTTATTAATCGGACGAAATATGAAAAAAGACCCAGTCTTATTTTTGGGGAAACACTTTAGTTGGAAGATTCGTCGCCGCGTTTAGATCTCATTTTGCACGGTGTTCGAAGCTAACAACACCGAGAAAGAGATTCCCATGCTTCGCAGGAAATATAAAAAGTTGTGATGAATAAACAGGCGGCGGATCACTGAAATTTGGTCAGAATTTTAATTGTTCGTGACTCGTTGCAGCTGATACAAAGATTTATTGTAAAATTTTTGTGTAAAATGGCAATACTTGGACAATGTATATCTATGTGAGAGAAGAAGGATTAAAAAAGTCGGATGATGATCAAACTTTTTGTAATTTTGTATAGCTCTCCGTTAGAGATAACTTTGATAGCATCGCAGGATAACATTACGGGTTCAAATTCTATGCCCATCACCTCATGCAGGGTGTAATAAATTGAGTAGGCAATGTCTGACCGGAACGATTGCAGTCGTCTCAATTTATAGTAGCACCTCACTTAGTTGTGGCCGCTTGTGCATGAACTTGTTGAGGGCGAGAGCGGTATAAAAATTGAACTTACTTGTTACGGAACTAATAAACGTGTCTTAAACTGTCCATTGTATATATCGTCGTTGTGTCGTACTTGTTCTGTGCTGAAATTTTATTTGTTTATTTTCGCTATTTTATGACTGTTGTTCTACTATAACGCAGCAGTCACGAACTGCTGTTATACTCGTTAAGGGTACATGTCGCACAACTGTGTCTTAGGCCACGTATCCCGTCTATGCGATACTGTTTAATTATTATGCATATCTACTGTTGCATTTTTTAGGCAAATAAACTTATATACACTTGGAGTTTCTCTTTTGCATTAACAAGCGCCTCTGGATTTCCCAGACATCCTCCGGATACTTAACGTTTCTGAAATATATTAGTGTGAATACTATGTTTCTATATTTAATTCAGACCTTTTACTTTATTTCTTCTATTTGTTTACACTGTATTACCTGTCTAATAGTCACCCTATCTAGAGTGACTATTTTGTTACTATATTACTATTCAATTTAAGCTTTGTATTTTTACTTCGTTTATTCATGCTGTGTTAAACCCCATCTAGGTGTGGCTGCTCGATAACCAGTACTGGTTTTCAGCGTCTCCATCCACTCTTTAAATACTATCCTTATCTTATTCTGCTCGTATATGTATGTGGCGTATTTTCAGTATTGGTGTAAAAATAAATTACTGAATACATAATATACCGCGGGAAGGTCGCTGAACTTGATCACCGCGACCGCGACCTCTGATGGTTCACAGATTCCGCCACCCCATTATTCTGCGCACATCTGATCATTGTTTAACATTGATCAATCTTTTATTTCAACATTTTGTTAGCCGCAAACAGTTATCCTATGTTTTGTCTCTTATCCTATTCTTTGTATTGGATTTCAGACTCTTTACAACGGAGACAGGTCTATCGCAGATGTAAACGCTCCAGAACATCGATAACTTTCTCAAATCAAACCAAATAACGTTTTATATTTTATTCTTTTGGTAACGACACAGCTTGAAGGATAGGATAGAATTTACATATTTATCCCGGGGGAGAGGAAAGCCGATGAGACGGCTTAATCATATGGCGAACCACGACATACCAAACATTGAGACTTATTCTTGTTTTCCACAAACAAGTCTTTTCCTCTCAAATCGGGTTTAAAAAATATGTTTAAATTGGTCAGCCTCACTTTCAGACAAAGCGACTTGCAAATTTGAGTAAGTTTATAGTCATTCAAGGCTGTCAAAATTGAATGAATGACCTCAGCTTAGATTGGGCTAGCCAAGAACACTATTCAACAACCCTACTAACAACATTTACTTATGTCTACCGACCAACTCAGCTAGCCATGCTATTTTTGGTTATCACCAATTGTTACCTATACAAGCAAATGTGACGCGGGCCACAGACTATGATGTAGCGGGCCCATGTGTCCTACAGGTCTGGATTTGGACCACCCTGCTCCGAAATATGTTTTGTATCGGATTGAATCCATTAAGTGATAATATCATAGTTATGAAATTAGGTGTTTATGACCATGTTATGATTTTTGTTGTAAAAATGCCAAGCCAACTAACTTTAGTACCAGCAATGAAGACACCAGCTAGCATTGATTATACCACTATCAAATAATAAAGTTTACAATATTTATCTTTGTGAACTGATAATGTGATATTTGAAAAAATTGAGTCCCCATGTCAACAGACACGTAGGTAAATTCTGTGAAAAACTATTCATAGTTTTGCAGAAACTTTAAAATTACAAAGTAATATATTTGGTATCAGTATACTATTTTCAATCACAGTAATAGTGCACAAGCATACAGCAGATGTTTCTATTTCTTCAAAGTCCCAAGTTAACTGAACTTCTGGCATTTTGACAGATAAATGACAAGCATTGTTCTGGTATGGACTCTTCTGGTGTTGCTCTTTCATTCACTAACAAAGGTTCTCCATTTCCATTGCTATCAAGAATAGATGCTGTCGCTGAGTACAAATTAGATGGAGTTAAATGCAGATCTGTGAAACCAGAGTGCATGCCACTATTGTCTGTATGAGTGTCTGATAAGTTGTTTCTTTTACATCTATCATTATCATCAGTTTGCCTCCACACAGAATCATTATTTAGAAGGTGAGATTTGTATGATTTCCATGACTGTTGTTGCTGTGGCATTTTTGAGGAACCTTGTTCTGGTTGCAATGTTGAGTAATTTTGTCTACTCTCATATGCTTTCAATATTTGTTTGCGGCCAAGTGGATATCGGGAATAACTGCCAGTGGTATTTTTTACTGGTGAACTTTCCCATGCAGATATGTTTGCATGGTGGGGCATATTTGAGTCAATCTGTGAAGCGGTTACAGAAGAATGACTGTAGAAATCTTGTACCTGATTGCAATATGTTGGTGATAATTCATTAGGTAGTGAGTTTGAGAAATTATTTGATTGACCATAATTTTGGGGGACAGGTACAGAAGAAAATGGCACACTACCTATTTCATAGAGCTGTGATTGTGGTCTTTCAACAGAACCATGACTTGGCATAGCAGTACTGTTACCATGTGGTTCATAGTTAATTAAAACGGAGTTCTCTACTATTTGGGCAATGGGGGGAACAACATTGCAATCCGAAGTATTCTGCATTGCTTGTGATACCTCATCCTTGTCATGTTTGTCAGAGATATGCTTTTTCAACTTGTTTTTGGATGAATATTGCCTATTACAGTGAGGACAACAATTGGGCTCTGCAGAAATTCTTTCTTTCAAAGTAATTGTAGTATTTTGCATATTTCCAAGATTTTGACAACTTTTTGTTTGCTTAATACTCACAGGAAGTTCACTCCCAGGATGCTGTCTTTGAATGTGTAATTTTCTTTTTGTGCTGGACTTATATACTTTATCACAATATGGACATTTGAATTCTAGCACTGATTTGAGTATCGGATATGATAACTCTTTGATTGAATTTGTATTTATGTCCGGGTGTTTTTTAATCATGTGATTGATGAACATTCCTCGTCGTTGGAAGCCAATAGAGCATTTCAAACATTTAAAAACATATTTATCAAGGTTAATTTGGTTCACTGGTTTCCTTCTTTCTGATGTGCTGTGGAAGGTTATCATGTGATCATGCAGTTTGTCTTTACGCTTGAATGTGCTTCCACAATAATGGCATAAAAAGTTTCGAGCAGAGGAATGTACAACTTGGTGGACATTCAACTTTTCTCTATTTTTGAATACTTTACCACAAATTAAACAAGAGTGGATTTCAGGAATTTTAACAACTGTTTTACGAACTATTCGCTTGGAGAGTGAATGATTTGGGAAACTGGAAAAGTTGACAACATCTCGTCTTCTATCTCTAGCTTTCCTCCAAGCTCTTTTTTTGGGAGGAACGGACCTGACATCTCTTTCAGAATTCAAATAAACTTGCATTCGAACAGAAGTTTTTGTTTTCCTCATGGTTGATGAAGATGTAGAGGCTGCTTTTGAAGAATTAATGCAGCCGGATGTTGATGTCAACAAAGGTACTGACAAAAATTTTGCATATGTTGGAGAATACCAAACTTTCAATTCTTCATCTGGTAAAACTTGACGAGTCGTGGTAAAGTATATAAAGTCTTCCTCTTGATGAGCACATAAATTCTGCTCAGTGTATGATTTTGCAGGTTGAACGAACATCATCCAATTGCACATGTTTTCATCTGACATATCATAGTAAATGTAAGAAGCATCAACATTTTCCAATCTCTTACATTTGTTAATGTCCAATTTTATGACGAAACCAGAACCATCCATTTCATTTCTGGTAACAAGGGGTGCTTCCAACGGCCCAAATTGGGAAAGTAGTGATAACGAACATTTCGCAAATACACTACAGTGTTCGCCAACTTTTTTGATTGCCAATATATCTGGTAAAGATGATCTAGCCTTGCTCTTACTAGTTTTATTGTAGATTCTTATAACTTTTTGCCCGGACATCTCAGGGTCAAAGAGCTGATCATTTTCCACCATCCTTATGATACAGTATACAAAATATATTTTATAACTGCATAACAAAACAATTCCCAGTCAAAAAGCTTACTCACAAAATAACTATATCCAGACATCTGTGGTCACAGTTCGGTTTACATATAAAAATACATACAATACAAAAATGCTTTCAAGAGAATATTTACGTATTTTTCTCGACATTTGAACCCTAAAAATTTCAAAAACACATTTCTATAGACCTAAAACACCGCAGTAGAAAATGCGAAAAGACGGACAACTCACCAGGCCTCTCTGTAGTCGAGTTGTCCGCCTCCCCCGTACCGGTACGGTACCGAGACATTTTGCTGCACACCGCTGTTCGCTAGCTTTCGGTCCACTGGACTCGAAGCGACGGACGAGACGAGGCTGCGTTCGTCTGCAGTACGGACATAATAGTCCTAACAGGATGCTGTTATTCTGATATAAGATACCGCATTGCTTTTCAGAATAATAGAGCAATGCTCAAATATAGGGACACGGAAGCAACAACGAAACATTTTACCCACAACCAAAAAGGATGTATACCTGAAATAGGAACCGACAAACGTTCTCACCCTCGGGCCAAAATCTACATATATGTTCAGCGGAGTTTACAGCATTTTTGCTCACAATTACATCGGGGTATCGTTTAAAAAGTTTTCGACAGTACGGTATCCAGGCAAAACTTTCCCCGATTGGCGGGCTTTGATTCCGACAACCACAGTCGTCGATCGTATCGCATATTCATGCGCCTGTGGTCGCATACAGTGGTGGGATTCAGCCGGTTCGCACCGGTTCTATAACACCGTCTCACGGAATTTTATGAGATCAGCAAACCGGTTAGCATCTCTGGTTACTCTCAATGTTCTGTTTGTAACAGAACCGGCTGAGCAATATGACTTTTGTAAAAGAACCAGCTGACAAAAATTTGAATTCCACCACTGGTCACATACTACAATTATCAAAAAGTGTCGATTACAAATAAAACACGAACAGATTTGGCGGATTCCTGCTTTGAGGGTCCAGTGGCTTCCAGTCGTCGTTGGCAGTGGTTTTCCGTAAACTCTTATGCAGTGGTGGGTTTCAAGGGGTTCGTGCGGGTTCTCATCATGATAATCAGCAAACCCGATCTTGCTTTTTAGAGCTATAAAGTTTTGTGAAATGAAGGAATATGTTGTTAGTGAATTTAATACAAAATTTTAAGTTCAGTCACTGACTGCTCTTATCCTTTGAGGATGGAAAGCCACGATTCGTAGTTTACCGGTTACAGAAAAATTGATATGCTTAACTTGGAATGAACAATCTGGGTAGGTTCGGGTTAATTAATAACAATATGGATATAGGATTTATTCATCCCTGATAAGGGACAGCTTAGTCATATTGCGAACCTCTCTTCTCGTGTAGTTACGACGACAGGGAATTCCGGAAATCCAGTCTTACATAATTATCCCCCAATGATTTCAAACTTGCGAACCCATACATGATAACCAAAGATGCGATGACAAGCGTGTATTTCACAGTCAGGTCGATGCGTCGTCCTGAGCCCAATCATACGCTCGTGGTGATTTGTATCAAGAACAAACGGTGTATATTTCATTTAGATATTTGCCTTGCTCGGTGTTGTGAAAAAACTTAATTGGCGAACCACTGCTATCATATCGAGTGATGGAGATCATGAGAGACGTGCAGCGGAACGGTTCAGCGAAACAGCAGAGAAATCCGGAATGAATGTGAGTTGTGACTAAAACTTTTGACAGGTTCTTATAATATACCTATATATATATATACAGTATATATATTGTTCAGAGTACGTAGGAAAAATACGGATCTCAAACGGTTTTTGAAAATTTTTATGTATATAATTACATCACTGCTTATGTGTCGGATCTATGAAGCTGCTTAATATTATGTGTGATAAGGCCAAGAGAGAGCATGATTACACTTTTGCATTTGAGTGCAAAGACATGTAGCCTATTATCGACTTTTGGCAAACTAAAAATCAAAAAAACCTAAAATTTTATAAACTTAAAAATATTTCAATTGACTGTTCATCATCTTGGACACTCCGTCAGAACGTTCTTTGATATATCGGTGATTTGCATGGTCCAGACTTAGAGTAAATATTTCAATATGTTCTCTCGTTTGTTACTGGCTAATCGTAGATTGTTTTATAGATATTATATAGCTGTAGTTGCATAGCATATCGACAAGTTTGCCCAGGGCCAAACTGCCACGTAAATTGATCAAGTATATAGGATAAGTTGCAACGAAGAAAAGTTTCGCAATTATGTCTGATAATTTCCGGTAGCTGCGTTGAACTGGAAGCATTGGCTGTTTATATAAAGTATCAGTACATACGAGACTAAAGATATCGATTTGTAGAATTAAATAGATCTAAACGGTATTAGTTCGTTTCCTCAAAATTTACGCTTACAAACGACGTAGCTTGAAAGTTAACAGTTAGTCAGAAGTACGCAGGTTAGAGTTTGTTAAATGCAATTGCAATTACCACTTTGTTGTGTATTTATTGTCTTCATTCAAACAATGATAATGAAACAATATTTGGAAGTTGGTATAATAAGAGCATTGAATACCATTTGTTAAATTATTGATTGAATTTTCGTGACACCGGTCATAGCTGCGACCATGGGCGGTACGATACCTAAATAGATGTGTATTAAAGAAACAACACGTTGAACAGCCAAGAAATGCTTGATTTGGAAATCAAGAATGGAATTTCACGAGAAAGATATGAACTTGTATCTCGCTCCCCTTACCCGTATTTGTTGGTGTTTAAGTAGCTTCAAATATTATTGTTTATTATATATATTATGTATTATATATTGTTTATTCATATTATCGTTTGTACTGACGCATGTTATAGATATTGGCCGGTCGGTAAAGGAATAATTTCTTTAGTATCCACACTATAGCAAAGTATCATCGCGGAGTCGTCAGGTGTATTTGCATTAACTTGTCATATATTAGTAAGAAAGCCCTCATCTATTTATAAGTGTTAAAATTTCTTGATTCATTTTTGTGAAATGCTGAGAAAGCAGATTCGTTCCTTTTATTATACTCATACGAACACGGACGTATATAGTTATTCCTTATGGAAGTCAGTTTTCTCGTGCCAACTAACAATAGGAGTTTAGTTATCCCTTATGGCGGTGATGTAAGTCAGTAGGTCATTTTTCTTATGCCAACGAAGAACCAACAATGTGAGTTTTTTGTTTTCTTTCAATATGGAAGTGATGCATGCAAGTCAGCAGGTCAGTTTTCTTATGCCAACAAACAATAAGAGTTTAGTTATCCCTTATGGCGGTAATGTAAGTCAGTAGGTCATTTTTTATGCCAGCGAGCAATATGAGTTAGGGGTGTCCGCATATAAGTACGTATAAGTGAAGGTGCAGCTTACCACTACAGTAAAAATATCAATTACTAACTTTTTAGAAAAACTGGCAAGGAAAAATCTTGCACTATTTTCGAGTGATAAAGATCCATGCGTTCATTACAAGCATACACTTTCCAATCTGTGTATGAACTTTTTCAAGCTCGGCATTAAAATTTAATGAAATTGCGCGGGGTTAAGACGTCGGACCAACTTATCTCTTCTTTAGAAAGCGTCGCCTTAGTAAAAGTTTGTTTTCAGTTTTTATCACAGAGGTTTTGGTTCGTTCGAGGAAGTACGGATAGTCTAATTTGTCACTTGAACCTTTTTCGTGGAAATTCGTAATCTTTATTATTTGGAGACTGCATGTTGGAAAGGGACAAAGGGGGATTTTACGTAAAAAGCGTGTGCTGATGACTAGTTCCATTGTTTTTGATTTTTCCGGTATTCCACTGGTGACTGATTTCACAGCGACTTAAGATCCCACAATCGCGGCCATAACAAGAAAACAACTATAGTATCGTTATCTGAGTCATAAAAAAGCACTGCAATATAGGCCATGTGAAGCTAATGAAGTACAATGTATAGCCTAGCCATAAGGTTTCGTGGACTTCCCCTCGACTGTTGCAAAGATGAACTATATTGGTTGTCGCTTTCGACTTATTTGATGGGGCTTTCATGTTATTTTTAGTCTGGGCTCGCGACGTTTCTTACAAGTTCCCGTTGACGGGTAATGCTGTAAGTTAACATTGCATAGGAATATGGTATTATAAAATACATAGTGGAAACTAGTTTTATCATTAAGACTTATGACGAATAAGGCCGTCAAGATTGTCTTCGCAAGACGTAGTTATGTAGGGTGACCATACGTCCTCCTTTTGGAGGATTTGTCCTCTTTTTTCGTTAAAAAATTTGCGTCCTGCGAGGACGCTCTGAATTGTCAAAATGTCCTCCTTTTTCACTGGATTTAATCCTAAAAATTCTCTTATATTATCAACAGTTGTATTGTTAAGAAAATTTCAGAGTCAATAGAGGCTTGTAAGTATTATTATACATATACCAAGCAATGCATTGCGATGTGATAGCATGCACACGGGTTTACTTTAATTAAATGCTTACTTGATATGCTTACTCGTTCATGACGTAAAATCGTTTTGTTCTGCAATTAGGTTTTAGGTCATTTCACCTCGTATTTCGCAATCTATGAAAGGTACGTTTTTGGCAGAAAATTACGCCAGTAGGCCCAGTTTTACGATATTTAAATAATAACCTAGCGATGTTGACGATGAATAAAGGACTGCCAAATACTTATGGTCTAAGGACAAACAAATTGTAGTTGTTATTTTTAATAAAGACGAAAATGCATCATTTTATTGTCGTCACTTTGTCTATTGTCACTTCTATGTTCAATACTAGAAAATTTAGTAGATATATTATAATGTATATCTCATGCACAGATGAAATGTGGTTCTACCAAACAATGTGTCTTCCTTTTAGGGTCTGGAAATATGGTCACCCTATAGTTATGTATATTCGGTAGTTTTGTTCAGACGATGCCCTGTATGTCGAGCAGCAGCATGCTAGTTAGAGGAGTACGTATTCCCGGGCAAAGTTATGATTTGACCATATTAGTCATCCTGGTGGTAGTAGCCATATCCCTTCTTAACGCCATAGACGCGACAAGCCGAGACGAGTTGAACTGAAAATAATTCGTGAATATTCCTCATTAGGCATTGATGCAAAAATATTAAACCTTGTAGGGGTATAGGGTGTAAAAATAAGACACTTCCCAATAAATTCTTTTTCAAGGGTCGAGTGGATTTTAAATGACTAGCGTCCATCGCTAAACTGTATTCATTGTCGGATTGACTTGCAATGATAGTAGATGACAGAACTGCATCTCTCCTTATCAATGATCGCATTACTTTTACAAACTTTGTGTTTCTTACGTGTGCTTCTCTGTGAACTCTTAGTGTATGAGACATTGAATATAGTATCGTGTATTCAAATGTAGTGATTCTAAAATGTATTGGTATCTTCCGCCCTCATAAACTATTTGATATTAATTATTGATGTCTGATATACCAAACGATTTATGAGATGTTTTCCCGATTGGTTAACGATGTTATCGAGGACAGTTGGATTGGAAGTTTAAATACCGTTTTAAAATGAAATTTTAGATTCATCACTGTTTGAGTAAAATTACAGGCAACGCGATCCGAGAATGTTGCATTCAACAGCTGTAATGCAAAATTTAGTTTTGATTGAAGATATTTAAATCCGAATTTTTATTTATAAGTTAGATTGTAATAAAAAACAAAAAATTAAATACAGTATTGAATTGCACCCAATTTCGTTGAATTGCATTTTCTTTACGCATTGATTCTGAGTTTTTCTCTATAGCTTCCCTAATGCAAGGCATGATTACAAAACTAAATTAATTGAGTACGGTGACCGTACATTTGAACCCACGTACATTTGAACCCATGTGTATATCCGCGGGTTCAATCTATATGCGGGTGCTAAAACCCAGGGATTAGGGTTAGTATGGGTTTCAATATCCGTAAAACAAAAGAAAAATTTCATAGGTGCAATAGTATGCAGGTGCAATTTTTGTGGGGTCAAATGTAATGAGACCATTGAGAACACTCGCAAATCCAGAAGATGATTTATGACAATCTTTCCCTGCATGAAGGGCGATGCTTACCAGAAATCAATCGGTAGTTTACTAACTTAATGGAGTAAATCTTCATTTTCTGGTTTAGCGTATCAAACACATTCATAACTTTCAGTAACTTTTTCAGCATACATTATTTTTCAAACATCAGTCTCAAAGTTCAACAGCGACGATGTATCGCTTGACAAATTTGTACTCTGGGGATTCGTTTTGTATTGGTTTGATGTTCCCGTCCGTTCTGTGCCTTCGGGCATTACGCTGTCAATGCCCGAGGCAATATTTAGGACGATAGTTAACGTTACGCAGACCATGGTACAAGCGCCGGCATTTCCTCGAAGGACATGTCGAGACTGTAGGTTGATGTTTTAGAATAGTTCATCAGAGTGAAGTTTGTAAGATAAGGCGCAGGATATTATTAAAATGAGTGTGTGAATGAGCTTATTTATGCGGCCCGTCCTATATTTTTAGGTCGCATATCCTAAGGTAGAAGACTAACTTACTTATTATTGGATTGTTGTTACCAAGGAGTTCTTTGCATTTTTTTTTCTAGGTTTCAGGTAAGAGTCTTCGTTTAGTCTATTGTAGGGTGGGCGTTCATGATGTTGAGTTAGATATAGGCTGTCATGATAAATCATGGGTCAACATTAAGATTTCGTGAATATATTCAATATACGTCGTATGTATTATAGTCCACAAACATTGTAATTGTTGATCGAGCTGTGCCTTTCCCACTTCATAAACTTCCCCAATATCTTTTCCAAGAGTCAATTTCCCAAAATAAATTATTTAAAGCTTTGGAGTAACTAATTAAATTTCGTTAATCATGCCCTGCGAAGTGTGATATCCCGTTTTACAATGCTTCCTCAGAAGTGTAAGAACAACATGGCTGCAAACATGTAATGTGTAAATGTCCTACGAATAAGAATAAGTTGAAATTGGAATTGAAAATATCTCTTATCTCAATTATCTATTCGACAGACGAATTATAATACTACTTACAGATATCTGTAAAAATGTTCTGCATATATCAGGAAGATTAAGTGCCGAAACCGGAAGCAGTCTCTCATACCGCTATTAAAGTATCAGGGATAATCTCATTTCTATGTGTGTTTATCCTTGCGCATACGTGTTTGTGAAATTATGTCACTGCTGACGACATTGGCTGGAATGGTTTGCTTTACTTCCAAACAGAGCGTATGGCAATCTATATATCGCGAAACTCAAGTAGCAGTACCTAAAATGTACAAATGGCTAGCAATGACCGAGAGAGAAATGTAAAGAATTGTTCAATTTAGTGATTTGCTTTCAATTCGGAATACTAAATTGCATTCCTGGTGTCTCTAAAATCAATGAAACGCATAACGAAATTTCTCAAATGAAATGTAAACAGTGGAAGTGAACAGCATAGAATTAGTTCAGGACATTACGCACAAACACGGGCGCGTGGCTTGTAGCGGTTCAAGTCAATATGATCACGACGACAAATAAGTAGTGGTAGTACTAGTGAATTCTACATAACCGAAGTATCAGTTTAGAAATTTATTTGCTCAGAGCCTAAAGCTAGAGAATACACTGGCAATAACGTAATAATTTGCGGCCGATCTGACTTATTTGGGCTTTCGTATTCTCAAATGACGTATCATTATTGAATATAATCTGATGCAGTCACGTAAAAATTAAATATTATTAGTAGTTTTGGACTGAGAACACGTGACTAACGTTACAACAAATATTTGATAAAATATACATCAGAGACACTTTGTTACGTAACTGTTGCAATTAAGCCTTTTGTCGTCATAATAGCTTTTCGCCATAATTTTGATTGCAATTACGTAGGCTTTTAGGTCTCATGACAGGAATATAGGAGATCGATTGACGAGATGTGTGAAACTTGCAATTTGACGCGGATGCTACCAAGTGCTGAAACTAGGGTGGTAATAAATCTTTATTTACTATTTTCAGCTGTAGAATTGATTTCATTGCACCCGGAAACGTAATATGATTCTAGTTTAGTATAACTATTCACCACAAGATATGATTTCGGAACTTCTTGTTGGATCTAGTCGAATATGGGTAGCTATTTTGGCGTTATACACGTGTGCCATGGTTTATGGTCTGATGTCTCTCAATGGCGACACCAGTTCACGTGCAGGACAAGTCTCAACAGGACTAGAAAACGTCAAAACGGAATCTGTAAAGGACCGACTGCTATATGATTATGATCCTTTTCTATCGTCATCTGAGAACGTGGATCCAGAATTATCCATTAAAGCATTAGAACACTTACCTAGTGATTTTCCATTATCTGGCGGTTTAGCTAAACCCAAGCCTTTTTTAAAAGCGGGCAATGCAAAAAAGAATGCCACAGTAGTTATAGGCATTCCCAGTATCAAGAGACAAGGCAATGATTATTTAATATCAACTATCGAGTCATTATTGAGGCATTTGACTCCAGAACAAAAAAAGGAAACAGTTTTTATGATATTTCTTGGAGAAAGCGATACTTCCTATCTCGACGATAGAGTGCAAGAATTACAAAAGAGATTTCCAGATGAATCCATGAGCGGCAGTTTGGAGGTAATATTTGCTGGATTTTTTGCTTCAATAAATAAACAACAAAGCCTGTATTGCTACCTGTAATGCTGTTTTATGTCAGCTTTTGATTTACCGATGGTACCACTCCGCGTGTACATGTAGTACAATATGCGGCGACTTTGAAACCCAATTCAATTTTAACGTGAAATCTTTCACATTAGTGTTCATAGATTTTTGTAGGAATCGCCATGATGGTATTAAGTCATAGCGATTACCAGAAAGACTGTTATTAGAAAATTGACGAATTGCATAATTTTTTTTACAAGACAAGATACTGACTTCGTCTTTTGTTGGAATAGCAAAAGGGGATGGAAATTTGTTCCCATACATTGTTTTGCGTTTGTCACGTTCCTACTTTGATCCAATGATTTCAATTTTTCCAGATAATCAGTCCCCCAAAAAGTTTGTATCCAGACTGGAGTAAAACTGTACGCTCCAGTTTTGGGGACACATTAGAAAGAACAAAGTGGAGGTCAAAACAAAACTTGGATCAAATTTTTTTAATGATGTATATTTATCACTTAAATCCAAAATACTATTTAATGATGGAAGATGACGTCATGGCATCTAGAGAGTACATGACTAAGTTATTGAAAGTAAGTTTTCGATCATGTTGTCACATTGTCATATTTGCAATTTTATGAAATTGGGTTAGGAATTTTAGGAACTAAAATGCAGTGCTTGAGATATAATAGTGCATCTACCATAAATTTTATTTTTAATATCTGCAAGTGCAACAGAAGTTGTTGATTTTTATCCATAATTCAGTGGTCATCAACCTTTTTTCTTTCTTGGCCCACTTTCGTTGCACAAAAAATTTTGGGGCCATTTTACTTCCTCATGAATGAAAACAACTACGAGAAAAACAATAATATCTTTTCGCAAAGATGTTCCTTTCCACTTTTAATAATTTTCAATGATTACCTTTTACAAATTGCCATTTAGTGGCGAACAGCATTATCATTTATTTCTTAATTAATACAATCAAATTTAACTAACTTCTAGCAATTTTTAATTTGTGGCCCACCTGAAAATGTTTCTGTGGCCCACTGGTTAAAAATGGTGACCTAGCCGGCACTTTTACAAAACAAGTCATCCCGACGCACTTAGGAACCTAGTGGATTTTGTAAGGACAAAATCTTATCGGTTCCTTCGCTAAAAATTTATGATGAATAAGTTTCTGACGGACTGGGTCTAGTACTTGAGTTTGTTGTCTGCGATATCAGCATATTATGTAATATAATTATGGAGATGCAAAAATTTTTACGTTTTTCATCATTTGCAGGCAATAGAATCTAAGAAAAACAGACCGTGGATATATCTATCATTTTGCGGGCTGGGTGCCATTGGAAAACTTTTTCGACGGAGAACATTACCACTGTACGCTTCCTTCATTCACTCTTTCTGGAACGCCAAACCTCTCGATTGGCTTCAGGTTGATTTTGCGAGGTCGCGAATATGCAGTTATGACGAAACTGAAAAAACTTGTTTTAAAAGATTGAAAAGCGTAACACCGGAGGCTCAGCCCTCCTTATTTCAACATATTGGAAAGTAAGTGTAATTATTTGTTTTATTCGTATATGTACAATCGATCGTCGTTTCGTTGAGTATGAGCTCAATTGTGAATATCCCATTCCAACAGATATTAAAGCATTGCTTTTGTATAATATTATTCTTCCTTATCTGTCTGAATTATATTTTCTTCTACATGTGAAATGACTGGTGCGGTTTTCGGACTAATTTGTATTTTTTGCAGCTGTGCAGTGTTGTACGATACGTAATATGTAATCACTATTAGCTTTCATCGTAAATTCTTCATCAATTTGGCGATTATGTATCCACTATAATGTAAGCGCAGCCACCCACGAGGTGTGAAAAAAACAGAGCCGCTTGTGTTAGATTTCATGAGTCTACACCGATTTATTATACCATTGGGCTATATCGTAGGCTCGGGTACATCTAAATTTGTCTTATCTCGGACTGAAATCTTCCAGCAACGTTCTGATCTGACTAGACTGTATCTAAGATCCTTTATTTCTCGCCCATTTTCCAGTATTTTTGTAACAGACGCATTCGCACGCTGTTCGTAAGCCAACAGCTTTTTTTCTGCTGCGACCACACACCAGTACTAAAAGCAATAGACATAGAACGATTTAAAAACTCGCCTTGGGAGTTATTACGCGTCTAGACGGCATTTATCGCCCACATGGTGAAGACGAAATTGCAGATTCTCATTTCATACAGAGCCATGGATAGGCATTGCGAATATGTGTTAGAGTTAGAGCTTAATAATTATCCATATACTGACGGCAATTTTCCAATTGCCTTCTAATCATTAGGGATGGCGGAATCGAGTCCGGATTCGATTATAGAATCGATTCTTCGCAAGATCGAGTAGGATCGATTCCGATGCATTGGAATCAATTCTCGAGGTTGAAACTGGGATTGCAAACAATGTGTAACGTTTTGTGGCAATTCCTTCACATATATGTATAAACTGCTTCACTGCTATGTTGAGTTGCTACGACGCCGAAAACTTTACTGCACTATCTCGTATATATATATATTTCGCTAGAAGACTTTAACGCCTATTTATTTTTAAAATCTCTGTGGGTTCTGAGGAATTGTTTTTTTTTTGTGCGATTTTGTCTCCTGTGACAGATTGAATACCCATACTACTTAGTTTTGGCCTTTTTGTCATTGAATTTGAATTTGAACATCGTTCTCTTGTTTGATTTCATATGGTATTTCTTAGGTGGGTATGTTTTTTCGGTAAGATATGTCGAGGAATCGAGAATCGCAATCGGAAAAGAATCGAAAACTTGTAAGTACTCATACTTGGCATCCTTACTAATCATCCCCATTTTTTGCAGAGTTTCTTCATTACCAGGGAAAATTCAAAAACTCAGAGATGGGAGATTTCGGCAATGATGAGGCAATTTTCAGTGCCGTTTTACTACTCAATCGAAAGATGTTGACCAGAAGAGTCAGAATGCGCGTATTGCCTGAACAATACACAAACACTGTAAAACTTTTACGAATTATGCCCACCGGGTCCATTTTGTTACGAATATGTTTAAAGTTTTATATGGATGTGGCATTAAATCCAAATTGATAAAAATCACAGTCAGAATAAGTGTACATGTTTTTTGGGGGGAGGGGGGGAGGGTGTATTTTAAATGCCTTTTTCGAAACTATTTTTTTTATATATAGATATACACACAAGGTTATTATTTACTGCAATGTTTAATATATTTCAATGCCGAAGATGAACAAGCGTGTTCGGAATCTCATTCTCATGTTGTTTTTGTTTGACAGCATAATCTTACCCGTAAACTTAAATATATTCGGTAAATCTACCGCCATTTTAAAATAAATTTTGGTATTTGTAAATGTCTCTTCAATATATATGTATATATAGTCGAATTTGCCATGTGCTTTTCGTGCAGGGACTGTAGTGTCACTTCAAAGTGATTGTAGCGAAAATACAGTCACAAAACTGATTAGCACTGCATGGAATTCATGCTTTGTTCAGTAAAACCTCAGAATGAACCATCGTTGTAAAAAAGGCAATCACTCCGAAATTTGACATTGTCTTTAAAAATATCAAGATCACATCCCAACTTAAATTTTGTTAATGAGCAGTTAGTGTCATTTATTTGGAGGCTTTAAATTTCCGTTTGAAGCGTCACCAGACTATAAACGTGAGTTCTCGTTGGTGTCGGGCTAGCTAAGTTTCATTGCACAAATTACGATCACAACGACTTCCGCACAGAAAGTCACGAAGTTATTTTTGGCCAACACATTGCGCTTAAGGATCACGAATGTGCTTACATTGCTAACATTGCACCAATCGAATGATATTGTCTAGAAACACTATGCTTCAAACCACGTGCGCGCTGTTTATCCCAGTGTCCCCATTGTATATGGTCAATCTCAGCCTTGGAAGTTTATATTTCTCAATAGAGAGCGATTTCAAAATGTGTTTGGGAATTACTATGGTGTAAATTTCAACTCGCACTTTACCTACGTAAATATGGCTCTTAGACTCTGACATATAATTTCTAAAAATACCATTAATGGCCGTCTTTGATCCTACATGCTCCAGTTGCCAAGAACACAGCATTTTCTACAGCAGGGGTGTGCAACCTTTTTTTTCAGGAGGGCCAAATATACATGTAACTGGGTGAAGCCGCGGGACGCACCTATAAACTCTACCTACGAAAGTCTCTGAATACGAAAAATTTGTAATTTTCATTGTGTATTTCTTTGTTCTTTCTTCATACCATGTGTACCTTAATAAAGAATTTTCTTCTTGCGGAGGGGTTTCCGTAATAGGAACGAAATTAATCTGTTCCAAGACCCTTCGTAAGTAGAAAATTCCGTAAGTACGGACGCTCTTCACCTGAAAATGCATTAATTCGCTCCAAGCCCCCACAAAACTCGGACATAATATTTGACTGGGCTAAGATCGTGGAGAGTGGGGGTACGGCGTGCGAGTATAGTTTTATTTAGTTTTGACTGTTACGCGTATCATCGTCTTCTCAATTGAAACTGAGGGAGACTTATTGTACGTATCCACGGGAAACGCCATTATGTTCGGTCATTATCAAAATGAAAGAATGAAAACAATTAATTACAACACAATTTGCTTCTAGATTTATTGCCGAGGCCGCACAAACTATCTCGACAAAATTGAAATATTTGATAATAAATGTTAAAATATTTTCAATCAAAAGCATCCACGACGTGTAATAAGCACTTCAAGTCAGCGCTAAGCAATAATTTTACAAAAATAATTCTCGTAACGTTGGATTTTTCGTATCCAGAGTCTTTCGTAGGTAGCGTTTCTACTGTATATGCAAGCACAAAAATTGATTCTTTTTGTTATTGATCTTAAGGCAGGGGTCGGCAACCTACGGCCCGCGGGCCGGATCCCGCCGGCGGAATAATATAATCCGGCCCGCGACGCATTACTGAATTATAGTAACAAAACAGCCGTTTTTGACGATTATATTATCTACGTAACAGAATTTATTGTGTGAGACACGTGTAGAATAATTTATATTATAATCTAACAGGTATAAAATTGACAATTACTCGTTTAATGAGCCTATAATATAATTATAATTAGACAAATGGCAACAAAACGAATGAAAGTTGATGCTAAGTGCAAAGGGATCAATTGCGCCGAAAATATTCACATGAAATTTTTTGAGATGCGCAATGAGGAAAAAAATCTATATTCTATTCTAGAAAAGTATCACTGCTTCATTTTTATAATAAATGTATCATTCGTTCGGTTTTCAACTATCTAACAATATATGAGCGAATTCAGTGAGAAAGACACGCTTTTATAACATTGTGTATTTTTCAACAAGATCTGTCTAGCTACTTTCACTGATATTACAGTGGGTATAGGCCTACTACTACTACTACTACTGGTAGGCCTATAGGGTTTACGACGCAAGGAGATTGAAATTGCTTGCACGTTTCAAATTAATTAAACTAAAAGCTCGTTTCTCGGGCATATCCTTCAAAATTGGCTCTTCTCCGCGAGCCGCGCAATTTTTCTTTGCGGGTCGCATTTGGCCCGCGGGCCGCAGTTTGCACCCTCCTGTGCTACAGTATTACTCATCAGCAAATAACATTTGATTGGCGTATGCAATCTGATTAAATGCAGCCGTAATTATGGGTACGTCATAACTCTTGTATAGGTATGTACACTTACACAAGCTACTGAAGAAAATCATCCATCTTTTTCACGTATACAATCAGGTACTCCGTCAGATATGTGGCGAGCAAACCAGTAGAACTCAAATAATAGATTGCCTCGGTGTTGTCAAACGATCAGGTCAAAGAGTTATATCTTTGATTTGTGGCCAGAAGTTTGCTAGTCAAATGCTTGATGTCGCCGGGGAACTGAAAATGACAGGATCAGGATGGGCATGGATATTGTGGAGCGATATAATAGATGATATACCAATGCAAGATGATATACCTCAACACGAAGGTATGAAAAATTTCGCTTCATCAATGTGACGTCGTCACATCGTCGAAGCTTCCATATTAGTATATTTTTTCAAAAATTCTTGTGAAATGAATATTACTCACTGGAATATATTGTAGAGAACCACCGATACCCTGACGGCTTGAGATTCATTGATAAAGGACGACGGTAATTCTAAACCTATATATTCAAAAATTTTACAACCGTGTGAAGTCGAATACTTCTTCCCATACGAACAGCCAATCTTTACAAAAACCTTTTTAATGAAAGTAAACTATTTGATGCTATGAAAGCATAGAAAAAAACTTTCCTTATAATTGACAATTGACATCGATTATTTCTAGAAACAAGCGTGAGATGGAAGACTAATACTCCCACATACCTCCTTGACATACCGGGATTACTCGCCATAAAAACATCTTATTCGCGTGGACTTCTTTTGGATGATTTTATATCTGAGTATTTGAAACACAATTCAACGAAAGGCATTGAATTTCCAACAATAAAACGGCTAAAATACGTAGATTCAATATTGGCTGCGGTTAATGGTATCATTTCAATGGAAAATACCCCTGACGGTAAGTATTAAAAGTATATGTCTGACAGCCTGTGTCGGACAAAGAATTGCCCAATTAATTAAACAAGAGCAAACTTCCGCCTTAGCTCTAAATCCGTGCGGTTTGCAAATAATTGTTGACAGGGTTCCGCGATGAGCCAGCCCATAATAGCATATCATGGGTTCCATAAGAATGAAAAGAACTGCTCTAGATGCCCTTACTTACTAAAGCTGTGAACGGAATGGTGTCTAGTTGGGCATACCCACATTTTGCCATTTCTAATTGGTTCTAGTCCGGTAGCCAATCCAGCTTGTATGTATAAGCTGATTTATCGTAAACACTAAACAGTATTTAAATGAAGTTGTCAGACTGGTTTATTTCGTCTTCAGTAGTTTGTAACCACTGGTTGCTTGCTAAGAGATGATTACAGAGACAAATTTCTAATGAAATATTATACATAATACTTATATATGTGTATATTTAGATGATCGTTTTTCATTGTTGCATCACGTCACGTCTGCAAATATAAATTCATCCGGAGTAACTGATAATATTATTTTGGATCCACAAAATCGAATTTCACGACATTCCGTTAGGTTTGACGTTATGAATTGTAAAGATAATGGAAAGTGGTTGAAAATAGGTAATTGTAGACTTTATTGATGTCTTTTTGTTGCATTTTTTGTTGTGGTTGACAATTAGAAAAACTCAACACCATACGAGTGGAAGAGAAGAAAAAAAATGTCCCGATTTATCCTGTTTAGGCTATTCATAATTCAAATTTAACTGAAATATTTTTGAGCAACTTGTAGAAAAAAATTGGTCGTGAATAGAAGTAAGTTAAAATTTTCGATTGTATGTTACTATATTAGTATATTTGATGGTCATTTATGACCCAGTCAAAATCTTAGTTAACATCACTCCGGACGACGTTGATTGAGAAGATCTTTTGAGCAAAAATTTCTTTTAAGGGAAATATATTAAGTATATTTTTCAACGTATGATAGGGGTTATACAAATGGCAATCGGAACTATTGTTATCCTATTTCTAGCTGTATTCATGCATTTTTATTGTTTTTTGTGGATAATTTACAAGATTAAGAATTTTAATTTACAGTACATTTTGTTGGCCATCGGCCATCGTTCAGATTAATATTATGGTTAAGCTTGCGTTAGAACTCATGGATACTACAGAATTGCTGTTTTTCTTGAATCTAGGAGAATGGACAGACAATAATGGTGCATTGGAATCGTTAAGTCGGAATTTTACACTGAATATGGATCTGGATGAATTGCTTTTACCTGGAGGCGAAAGGGAGATCAGTTCATATTTAGCCCAGCTGCAGTTTCAAGTGTTTGAAGTTGTCACAATTGATTCTCCGCCTTTTGTCTATATAAACAAGACTAAGGTAACAGTAACACAAGGCCAATGTTTTTTATTGTCGTTGTATAGATTGACCTAATGATTATCTCCAGGGATTTCGTATTTCACGTATTCTGGAAGGTCCGAGTGAACTTTTTGAATATTTGTGTTCATTTTTGTACGGAACATAAGAGTTGGGAGGATTTATTTCTATAAGTTGCCAGTTGGTCAGTATAAAAATGCAGTTGTCGTATACTGCATCTAGTTTGTCTGCAACTAAGATTCTATCTTGTATATAACAATCAGATTATTAACCAAATTAAACCGAACTTCTACCACCAAAGACGATTTTAATCATCGATATATCGAATCAAAAAGTTTCAAAACTCTTTACAGCACGAATAAACCGATATACTGGCGTAGAAAAGCAATAATTCCACGTGAAATCATATTGACTTGGCTTAAAATTATAACATCTTCTCCAGGGTGTACTTGGGCTTAAGTAAGGCTTTGATGAGTTCTTTTATTACCCTAATTAATTTCGATTCTTGCATCATAATTCAAAATTAATTTAGTGATTGAAATTAATTCAGTAAAATCTAACTCATACTTATCTGACTCGTACACCTCCACCGTTTGAAGTTTTCTTAGCAGATTTGATTTTTTTTCTCCGACGATTTATGTACGGAAATGCCACATGATAAAAAATGAAATTTTTGTCATCTTGCATTGGTATGTCATCTATTATATACATCGTTCCGCAGTGTCCATGCCCATCCTGATCTTTTATAAATAACTTTCATTTTTTCATTATGAAGGTTAGTCGAACATTTGAAGCTGGAGACAGTTATGTTCAATACTCTGGATTTTGCATCGATCTTTTTGATGCTCTGAGCAAGGAACTTGGATTCCAGTACAATATCAGAAATCTTGGAAAAACGGGAGAGTTTGGATCGAGAAATCCGGTAAATAGACTCAAATGTATTACACTGAACAATCTTCAACTTCCCCCTACCTAGACAGATAAATTGTGATATCAAAGTTTTTATATGTACATTTTTGTGTGTGTGTGTGTGTTTTTAAATTGAATCTGAGTACAATAAATGTGTGGATAAATGACGTTTCCAAACAATATTCTATCAGTATATTAAGGCATAACCCAGTGGTTCCCAACCTTTTTGTACACATTCCTCCCTTGGACTACTACGCAAAACTACTCTGTACTCTGGCTTTTGTACATACATGCATGCTACATGCAAATACAAAGTACAATTTCTTTCCGAAAACATTCAATTTCCTGCTTGGGGAGGAACTTCTCCCCGATTGGGAAACTCTGCCTTAACCAGTCCGTGTTGTAAACCAGTGCTTCTCAATCGGGGTTACGCTAAACACTTATTGGGGTTCCGTGAGTTGAGGGAGTTCTGTAGGGTTCCGTGAGGGTTCGTCTTTGAGCGGACTGTGTTAATTCTCATTCGGATGTTTGCATAAATATTTCATTGAGCAACATGCGGCCGATTTGAAGGTTGATGAGAGGAAATCAATAGCAGAATTTCTGCGTTGAATTTTTTGTATTTATCTTCTGTGCTTTTCTTTTTTACTGTAAGAATGTCTGTCATAGACTTTCATACATTTATGGGACAACGTCACGACAAACTGAACCTACGAGCCTTGTCTGTTCATTCCTTTGGCATATATTACCAATTGAAATTAGAAATTGACTACTATAAATTAGCGTTCAACTTTCTGACCATAATGCTAAAGACGATTTTGAATGAGTATGAGTATATAATTAGCCCACTGGGATGTTATTACACATTCGAAATAAACATTTTGTTTCCCATTCGATTGTGTCGAGCATAACATATCATAATACAACCAAACATTCCCATAACTACCATACACCCTGTTCCTAACACCAGCATAATTTACTTTGTAGAGATTCCTAGATATAATTCTCATCTGTAGTGAATTTTTTTTATCTTGATTTCAAGCTATCAATCAATTTAAATTCGTAGGTGAGTGGACATTGGAACGGATTAATCGGTGAACTGGTATCCAGCAAAGCTGACATAGCTGTCGCACCTCTGACTATCACTGAAAATAGAGCAACAGTGGTTGATCTAACAAGCGCGTTCATGGAGGTTGGAGTTTTAAAACTTTGTATTTCTTACTGTATTTATTTATGCTAAATTAGTGGTCACTATAGAGCTTTTTGACTAGTCACTAGACAGTGATGCGGCTATTGAAGTCTTGCTTAAATTATATCAGAACATTTTGACAAGATTTTCAAGACCATTCCAATACATTTTAACCGTGTGAATCCTGCATTTTAAAGTCATTTTTAAAGTAGTTGGGTTCGTTATGTAATGTCCAGAAATTTTTGCGTGCCACATGTCTAATTAATATAGCATTTAACTCAGTTTAGCATTTTCCGCAAAATATGGCGCATCGTCGAAGTGATATGAACTCTTGCCTTCGAACTTGATAAGTAAATGGTAAGAATACATGCCTAACATTATTTTACGAGTTTTCGATTTGAAAGTAATTCATTTTCAGACGAAGCTAAAGTTTGCCATTAATCGTGATGCAATTATGCATGGAGCAGATTCATTCGTCTACGGACGCTTCTCGTTTTTGCATCCTTTCAGCACGGAACTATGGGTAGCTCTGATGATAAGCGTGATATTGATGGGTATTTACCTCACCGTGATTTCTCGACTGAGCCCCTACGGGGCACACGGACACTACTTCCAGAGCGAACGAGGAGCGGAATCGAGCGTTCGAATGGCCAGACGAAGAAGTAGCGCCTTTCTTCCGTCGAGTACAAATTTCGGTCGAAGTTCTTTGGGTATTTCTGTAGACAAGCGGAAAAATTACGGAGCTCAAAATTTAAATGTGAGTGGTAATGATTTGAATGACAATAATGATAAAGAAGTGTTAAAAAATACGGCGTTATATGATGGAAATAACGTTTTATACAATAAGGCACATAAAAATATACATTTTCTGCTTAACTGTCTACTTTTTGACGAATGTGGCGTGAGCGATGACAATCTTTCGAAAAGCGAAAAGAAAGATAATTTCTGAATCATTTATCACGATAGGATTCGTGTAACTTGACGATCTGACAGTGTCTTCCACTATAAATTCATGCTGACTAAATATATATACAATTTATGCTTCTGTTATATAAAATACAAACCAGCAATTTTATTATCGTACAACATGTTATATTTCAGCATGGTAGAAAAAGTGCTGAAATACATGGACAAGGTAAGTACTAACATTTTTCTTTGTATCAATAATGTTTCAATATTTGATGTCATTAATGGAAAAAGTTGCTCATACATCATCTAAATACATGCAGGAGTTTGACTGTTTGTGTATTATTCAAAACGTCTTTGAACAATAATATGCCCTCAAAATGATTTTTTTAAATTCATCTAGAATTAATTTACGACCTTCTCAACTTTTCTTCGATGAGGTATGAGTAGACGTCCTGCGATTTGCCTTAAAAATATTCCATAAAATATTTACACCGAAAGCACTTTCATACAAGACTACATTGTATTATTTTATTTTCTCTTCAGCAAACGTATATCAATCTCGTACCAGGGTTCTAACTACCCGACAAGTCATCCATGATTTATAGAAAAGACAAACAACATCGAGTTATAAAACAATTACAAATAGGCAAATTTATTCTAGCGCTTACTTTCACTTAAATTAGAGAATTTTTTGGAATTTGAATTAAACTGAACTATCAGTATTTTCTATTTATTGTTGTACTTAGGCTACATGTGATACTAATGTTTTATTCCCATCTTTAAATATTAAATATTTTTCATAAACTATACACTATACAGTGGAGTCAGATTCAGATGAAGAAGAAGAAGAACAAGTGAGGCAAGATGCTCGCCGATTTATGTCTATCAATAACGCGTTATACTTTGCCTGTGCTGGCCTTCTTTGGCAGAGTCCCGAATGTGTGCCTCGCGCGCTTTCGGCAAGAATGGCTGCTGGAATTTGGTACATGGTTGGCGTTATTATTGTTGCTTCATACACGGCAAATATGGTCGCTTTTGTTTCACAGACCAGGTAAGTAAGTACCAGATAAGGAGGGTTTTCAAGGGTCATGATCAATAAATGTGACGAAGGAATTAACTGATGAGAACCTGTTTCAAACAGAACTACTTTTTATTGAAGAGCAGGGTCGCGGAGTGTTGAGAGTCTTAGAAAGTGTCAATAACATCCTGGTATACCAATCTGACCTTGTCAGTAGTTCCGGGATTTCTGTGTTTTTAGAGAACCCCTTGTCGTTCTATTCAAGTGTGTCTGCTTCAACTCGATGTTAATTTCGTTAGATCATTATTAGTTCGCTTTCCAGGTTGAGATTTATCTCTACAGCAAAAAAATTATGAGATCCAGAATTTGAATTCGAAGTGACACACAGCAGTCAGTTTACCTAAAATGCTCATACCATTACTCTAAGCGTTTTTTTGCTTTAGTACCACAAGTCGTCTTAGTACTGTTGAAGATCTACTAAATCAAAGAATGATTTTACCTGCCACAGTCGCTTCTAGTTCCGTCGACAGTTTGTTGATGACATCAAACCTCGATGTAGCAGAAAGACTGCATAAAGATATTTTGCGCAACCCAAGTAAGAAGTATTGATAACGTTTAAGTTTTATTGAATCAAAAATATATTGTCGACAGCAATCCTTGTCGTTTTTTCATAAAATACGCTTCAAACAATGTCACGCGCACTCACTCAAAATTGAGGAAACCTAACCCCAGAAAAAAGTTAAAACGAGCGACAACTGAGGAGTGCTCGACTGGTTAGCTTCATAAGTACCAGCAAATACGTATTGAGGAGAAGCTTAGAGCAGTTCGTTTCTATAAAACGATTTGGTAGGAACGTTCGCTACAGGTAAACCAACGTGACTATCACGACTACAACGCAATTGCGTAAATCATATCGAAGCACCAAGCGAAGCTGAACTGTTGATCGAAAAGCTGATTCTTAGTTATTTTCTAGAAATTTCGTTGCAACCTAACGTAGCCTCAGCGTTGAATTTGACCAATCGTGGAGATGTAGCTTTCATATGGGAAGGAGTGTCTTTGGATTATTTCGCTTCTAAAGATGATTGTCACCTGACTACAATTCCATTAGGATTTGGCAAAGCATCTTACGCCTTTGCTCTCAAGAGAGGATCCGCTTTTACTGGTACTATAAAATGTTTTTCGTGTATACTATGATTATGGTCCTTTCGTATAGGAAGACCTTGGCAGGATTTAATTTTTCATTATCGTAAATTGAAAATGTCGTATGCCAAATATAAATATTTCTACGGGAATCAACTCGTTCCAGTATTTTTTCCCCAAAAAAATAATAAAAAATCACTCTATGTGATTTAGTGAGACAAGATTGAGGCATTGAATTTTTCATGATTAGATGTGAAATTACTGCATAAATACTTCCTAGCGCCCTTTTTTTTTCAAGAAAAAAAAATATTCAGGGCTTTGAGATTCAAACCTTCTTTCGCAGAGGCTTTTAATCGCCAGATTTTAAAATTTCGTCAGACTGGATTTCTGGAAGAATTGTATGACAAGCATTTTAAGGAAACATGCATGGGTATGAAACATTATTTGAATTGTTTAGCTTATTTATTCAACGTTTACCGGTATTTTGTTCACGTATTTGTAAGGAATTGTACTTAGCCAAGAATATTTTATTCATACTGGAGCATTCGTATATCCAATATCTGATTTTATAAACACATGTGCATTCTTAGTAGTGCATAGGTATTTGGAGTCGGTGTTAAGCATGTTGTTAATGGAGTCGAATCCGGAGTCGTATTTCAAACTCCCGGGAATCGGAATTACAAACTTTCGAAGAAAACTTGTATACTCCGACCCACTGCATCTAGTCAACGATTTGAAGCTTTAAACCATGCTCATAGTACTGTGTGAATTTCGACTGCAACCCACGCAGTGACTATAAAAGGCGAGAAAACAAACAATGTATGTTTTTTTTTTGCTTTTCATAGAAATTAAAATGTTCGGGCTCACGCAAATCAGCCGGCTTTTATAATAGTAGAGCGTGAAAAGCGCTTTGCGAACGTCACGCGAGGAACGATTAGGTCTACCATACATATCTTTCAGGATCATCGACGGAAAGAGACACGTCGGAAGCCTATGATCGACTTACGTATTCCAGTCTGTCCGGTGTTTTTCTTATGATATCGGTTGGTGCAGCAATCAGTGTGTTGATGATTGCGATTGAATGGATTGTTTCATCTTTTTCTGAAATCGATCGGACAGATTTGAAAAAACCTTCCGACTTGTCATCGGCCTTAAAAATTAAACTTCAAAGATTGAAAGTTGATTTTAACAGTAATTGGCTCCCGTTTAGAAACATACGAGAACATTGGTCTAAATTCAGGTATGTATATTTACTAACTGCACAGAAGGTTTTATACTTGTAATGAAAAACTCCTACTAGAAGGACTACAATACTGGGAAAATAATATAATTTTTCATAGTCTCCTCAATAATATAGCAAACAACATGTGCAACAATTTTTAAACTCCGTGATCTTCCGTGAAAACCTCAGAGGAAAGTATTTTATGAAAGTCTGCATTTTAAAGAAGTGCACGATTGTTGTATTTATATCTTGAGCTTTTCCTTTTGTAATGATTCTTTAATTAATTATATATATATATATATATCGTAAGTTTTGTTATTATTTCAGACCAACCAAAGAGACTGACATTCCGACCAAAATAGGTTTCCCTTCTGAGCAATGGAAAAGATTTTCATCCAGTGTTGGTTCTGAAAAACTTCATCCCGGTGAATCTATATCCGATCCAGAATTATAAATACATTGAAAATATGACTGGTTCTCATTCTGTTTAAATTTGAGCATTGTTCTCTTGTTTTGTTTTTTATGAAGAATACAAATTTGTGAGTGTTTTTGAGTAAAATAAATCAACACAATATTATAAATTTTTATTACAGAAACTTGTGGATTAGTTTACCGATACATTTCGTGCTTCATATGATGATTTGTTCATAAGTCATAACGGTTTAAAATCAAATGCCTTTGCGTAATATTTGAAACCTAAATGCCTCCAACATTTTTACAACAATAGTCAACGTCGCCCACTAAAAGATCAGGCAAAAATGAATACGATATGTACAAAGTCAAATTTCCTCATTTGTATACTTTTAACATTTATTCGAAAATTAAATAATTAGCATAATATGACTTTGGAATAAGCCCAAATAATACAATCTTTGAAACCGTCTGTAATCAAGCAACAGATTCGCGATCATTGTCTTCTATAACCTTTCCCGGCAATGGAAGATTTGAATCTGAAGATCCTAACGCTGCCCCATTGTTGTTATATACATATGGCGAAATACCGTTTGTCTTGTCATATCTTTGCTCATCTTTCTCTGCAAGAATTGAGTATCCGCCACCATCAAGATCTGATGAGACGTCCTTGCCCTAATAAAATGGTACGATAGAGCTTTTAAATTAAAGTGATTATCTATAGTTAGGCAGGTAGTTAGGTTCCGTTGAAGTCTGCTCAGTAGGGCTGGGCATATTGAAACGAATAGTACATTATTGCAATAGATTTAGACAAAAATTTCAAATTGGCGCCATCTTGCTTCGAGGTTAATCCTTTATTTTTTATGAAGCCATATTTTTTTTAATGCAATTCTAACATGGATTTTTATTTTCCACTGAGTTATCGATTAAATGTGTTGCTTTTGTGTGTGGCAACTCGCGGAACTGAATGATTGATTCTATGTTTTCAGTAATTTATGTATCTGGAGGACCCATTACAATAAGAAAACCACATACAATTAAATTTGAGTATTCAAGATTCGATTCTAAAAAAATAATGGATTCGATTCTGAAATCATCAGGTATTTGAAAATACCCAGCCCTAGTCCTAGGTAACAGTGGCTTTCCATACGCAACAAAACCTATATCGTTGTCATGTACTCACATTAAAGGATATATTTCCAATATGTTCTAGATTTGGTAAAATACTATGGTATTTTAAATTGACAATTATTGATTTAAATGTAATATTATACATATATGACATGAGAATAGCTCAATTTCCAGCCGAACAACATTAACATATATATTATATATATATATCATACACAGATAGACACGACAATTGATATTTTAAAGCCGGAGAAAGAAAGGGCTAAGCATATCGAAAAATACGGAGATCTCCAGTGATTATCAAATCGCGATATGTAGCATACTGCAATGCCAAATAATTTTCACCTTAATCGTCCAAAATTTCTGCCTAATGTCGCTCCATCTCACAATATCTTGTAATGACTTTTGTCGATGAAGTGAATTTGCATCATTTAAAGGCATTGAAGACATCGACGGTGAAACTCCTCGATTCTGGGAAAAGTTTAAAATTATTTTAGTTCCGTGGTTAGAGATAGATGCCTAATTGTGAAATATCGAAGTTCTTACATTGCACAAGAGTCGAACTAACCCGATTCAAATTTAAGTTTGAGAAAAGTGAGCCTCTAACCTATGTAATGAATGTTTTCCCGACCCTTGACCCCTGGAAAAATTATTTCATACTTTACCATTGTGAAAATTTTGAGGCTGAGTATGAGCTGGTTTTGCGTGTTATCGCATACAAAGTCGCAGACTACTTTTTATTACTGCAACTAAACCAAAACTCCCCGAATGACAAAATAACCATCGAGATGTTTGATCTATTCATAAATTTTGGATACACGATTAAAAATTTACAAATGGCTAGCGAAACCACGAAAACGTGATAATGCTTACTGTCGCCCTGAAAACCTGTCTGAGTGAAAATAGTAATTGAGTAACTGCTACAGTTTCAGTTGTTATGTTAGACATCCCCCTGATTAGCCAATGTTACAAAACTTCACAAAGCAGATGTATATATATAAATAAACTGATTTGTACTTTCTTGAAATCAAAAATATAAAACGTCTTTAGTCAAACTTTTCAATTGTAAAAAAAAACTCACTCCTGGTTTTCTTTTCTTTAATCTCCATGTTTGATTGATATGAGCATCCGGGGATCTTGAGTCAGGTAAACTTTCAATATCATCCATTTCGGTGTTTAAGTTTGTACTCGGATCACAGACACGTCCTACAAAAACAGATAATTTTAATCTAGGAATAACAAAGATGAAACGCAATCCGGCATTTGTTATATGCTTCAAAACTATGAATTTGAGTATCAAAAAGCGTCTAGGACCCTTTGATAACAGTGAAACTCGGTACTTCGGTACCTGAATGACTACACAGGGTATTCATAACGTCCTGTTACAGTCAACATTTTGTTATGGAGTCAGTTCGCAATATACCTTAACCAGGTTTGTTTTATCTTAATCAGTGTTTATTTAAGTTTTTTATTTCATATTTATACTACCCTTAGTTGCAAGAAGCACATACAAGTTCTTTTATCTAGTTTAATACAGAGTTTTATATAAATCCTATTTTGTTATTTTGAGATGCATAACATTAAGTTATCATCTAGAAGTTCAAACCTTTGTGCTTGTAGCATAATTTTGCATATTGATATAAAGTTGTCATCAAATTTAAAGGTGCAGGAGAAAGCGTAGTTTTCTTCATATTACGAATAAGTTTTGAGCGACCAAACTTCCATTCTGTATCAGACTGAGCCTAAATAAAAAACGAATACGATAAGTTGGATTTGGAAGTTTGAAGCGATGTACTCGGTAATCACGATCGTCTTTGGAGACAGTCCAAGTATCTAGCACGGAAGTTATCGTCAAATTTTTCTTGTTATGCAATAATTTCATCAACATAGCCTCATTGCAGACAGCGTTTTTGATGATAATACTCCTGATTTTAGGATTCGCGCAAATTTAAACAGTACATCGATTTGATGATATCGTTACCAAAACCTTTCTTATTGGAAACGATGTTGACCTACGGATCGTTTTGTCATTTTGTTGCTGTTGTTGATCATCATGTTAGTATTTCTTTTCTCTTTCTTGTTGTGAAAAAATCGCTATACTCATTACCTACGAGACCAATTGCTTCGAAATTTTCAGTAGTTAAAAAACTGATATTTTTCTCAAGAAGACTATTTTATTCATTTCAAAAATTTTGATGCCTCTATGGAATTCGTTTCTTGTGTGCAATGTCGCCATTAAAATTAAAAATTGCGCTCCTTGTGGCTCAAATCTGCTACTCAGCTGTGATACGGTACCGGTAGGCTACTGTGACAGATTGCTTCCTGTACACATATTTAGGCACCGCTACCTTGTTATATTGAGCATACGTTCAGGTTAACGTCTTCTGTAACTATACTCGAATGAAATATAGGTGTGCTTGTACCAAAAAGTGCAGACAGGAAACTCGGCTAAACGAGTATTTATTTGCGAACGCGGTCGAGTATTCGACAAAGCAATACTCTTTGTTTTAACCACAACAATGTACATTTGGCATATTATATTTTACATCAAATCTAATTGTATTAAATAATTCAATATATGAATATGACATACCTCAATTCTTTGATATGTATCAGACATCATGGCAATGAGTAGATTAATAAGAACAATCAACATTATGATGTTGTAAAGACCAAATACGAATTGCACAAGGTAAATTGTAAAAACAGGATTTCTGCAACGAACAAGAATATACATTTACTAGTAATCTGTCAGTGAAAAATGTGCAAATGTCAAGTTTGGGCAATCGAACGAAATTTATATACCATGGTTAATATAGCCAACCATATTTACGTCAGCAACGGAAGAAAAATTCAAAAACAAATTAAGAAACTCAAAGCTGTTATGAAACGCCCTGATGCTAGAAAAAGAGACATCATATTGCCATTTCTCGTCGAACCTAATTTCACCCCCCACCACTCGCCACAAAGCATTTTGCTATCGTTTTCACATTTCCCCAGACCCTCAGAATTGTATTTTTTTATTTATTTTTCTGCTGTTATATACCCTGTGTAACTTAAAAACAACTCCCCTGTCACATTGAAAGTTTATTTAAAATTTTGAATATCTAATTTTTAGTTTTGCAATCTTACCTGCTAACAGGCGGCAGGACATCGGGCTCGATAAGACCAAACAAAGCAAAAAATATAAGTTGAAAAGAATATTGTGGATACTGGATGTGTTGAGGATCATAAGTAAGTCCGTTATCTGCAAAATGATATCAGTGAATTTAAAGCATTCCCTATAACAATAGAGTAAATGATTACAAAAACAAGGGCTAATAACCTGACAGAGCTATTTTCATCATATGATTGAGTCGTCGTATCTGCGTTTTTGTCCATCACATAAATATGAAAATTGCTATTGGGGCCTCCAGAAGTATGTGCACCAAGATGGCGCACAACCTGAACATAGTATGTGTACCAGGTTAGGGTTCAGGTCGTGCGCCATCTTGGTGCACATACTTCGGGAGCGCCCATTGGGACCTCCAGAAGTAGCTGATGGCGAAACTTGTGTGGCTGATGTGAGAAGTATAACGTTATTATTGACTTCAATTTAGTTATGGATGTCGTTTAACGCTAACGGTATTTCGCGTTATGGGAAAAGAGTATATTAATATAGTATAGTAATATTGCAAAATATTTATATAATAGTACATAAATGTAACGTTTTGTCTGAAATATGTTTTGCACTGTTCTCATTGGTTGATATGATAATATTTCAATGTATCTGAGAAAATAGCTTTAAAATCGTATATTATATTCAAAACCCAAAATTACAATTGATTTTGATTTAACACAGAAATGAATTTGCTTTTCATATAACCACTGCACTATTCTGTAGTATTGCATTAGACAGGATGAAATGTTGTTGTTTGATGCTATAAAACGTCAGCCTCACATAACTATAGAGAAAACCTTAAAATATACAAAAATATTTTGATTTGAGTGGCCCTGTTGTACTAAATATTGCTATCTTTAAATTTGTTTGATTGTACCGAAAAAGCGTCAGAATTCATACTTACCGACAATCGGTATGGTTTCGTTTGGACAATAACTCCCCGTTTTACCTTCGCATTGATAAACTGGCTGATACACTGCTGCAAGCCACATTGTAAATGCAATCTAAACACACACAGTTTACGTTATAGAATTATATTAATGTGGAATACTGTACTGTGAAATTTGGGTGACAGAAGCAGGGCGACACCGACATGATATGAAATATTTCCAGAAGGTATATTTCCATCGGTAACTAATACAGAACAATTTCTGAAATTTGTATTTTCTTACTTCATTACTTACTATTTTACCACACTTGGACCATTTGTCTCAGTATCATGGTAGATATATATTGTTGGGCAAATGGCTAAAGTAAGCTTATGGTATGGGTGGGATTCATGCTGTTTTGGGCCAGGATAGATATTCAATTAAAGTGAGCTTCATACAAGCTAATTACATCCACTATTTATTGAGTAATAACATATCAATGCTATTTAATTTGAACATACCAAAAAACGGAGTTAGTTGACAATAATATATGTTACATACCATGAACATCAGAACAATGACTCCGAACTTGAATAAATCTTTCAATAAACCTTCTATTATGATTGACCATGGTCCGAAGAGGTAGTGAAAACTGAATGAAAACACGATACATTAAAAGATAAAACTAGTTCACAAATTCTGAAAAGTATTGAAAATAGAGTTGTCATTGTCATCAATTTGACTAAAACCAGCCCAACGCATTTTTCCAAACACGCCAAATTAGGAAAAAAAAACTACCTCAAGAATTCAAGAAACTGCACAAAGGATAAAGTCATTGCAGCAGATAAGAACATATTTCTTGCATATATAATCTCTTGCCTTTGTCTATCGTCATTAAATGCAAATCCAACAAGATGTACAACAACAGATATCGCGCAGAGACTCAGAATTAATGTTCTGACCTGAAAATAAAGACAACACATTTTAGAAATATGCTCCTTCCGATTTAGACTTTAAAACACAATTATAGTTTATACTATTAACAACTCAAATAAAAAATGACAAAATCAATTCTTGTTTCTGAGTTTTAGAATTTCTACTATAGCGCAGAGATAACAAAATTTTGACTCTTTTACAGCTAAAAATGTCAACACATGCTTGAGAACGCGAAAGTTTTGGTAAAATTGCAATTTCGACTCTAAAGTTAAGAAAAGTAAGACTTCAGGACACTTATACAGAATAATGCTATACTTTAATAACTAAGAATATTCAAAATTAAATTGAAACCAATGTGGTGAAACAAAATTTTATTTCTTGAATCACTACTTTATGACTGAAATGTTTAGTCAGTCAATTCTTACCCAACCAATTCCAGTTCGATCTGTAGGACTGGTTAATTCATTGACCAATACTCCAGATACCCAAACTAAAAGCAACCATTCGTACCATGGCGGAATCAAGTCCAGTCGTTTCGCGCTGTATATTGGATCGAGTGGAACTGCACATGTAATGATAAATAATAGTACCTGAAATAGAAATACAAGCTGTTGATAAACCCCAAAAAATGATTTACCACGTTCAAAGGGAAACAACCACTGTCTATAGTTTTATGTATGAATCTGTTGTTCGCATTTGTGCAATCTCTCGTTTGCAACGTGTCAGTAAGCAATATTTTATGAAGGCAATACCTCCCTCCAGATGTAAAATTTCGCGCCGAAAATAAAGGATATCGAATTTAATATCATTTTTGTGTCATGTTGTTTTATAATGCAGCAAATCAGAACCTTGTGGATACTTTTAATAGGATATTTAAAAAATCAGATATCAGATGCAATAATTCATTCAATCATCATTAATTTTCAAGTCTATTCAAAAAGGCCATGCACCTGACGTGTTGATCGCTCGACGAACTGTTCAATGTTCTTTATGTTTAAATACCCGATTTGAACTGTATCTTTGCACGTTGTTCTATAGACTGGGGAAATTAATCATCCTTCAAGACCGTTTTTAATGTTTACACCTAATTTTTCTATTAACGTTCAAAGGTAAGGCACTCTTAATGGCTATGTGCTAAGATATTACAATATACAATAATAACAATCAGTGCCCCCAGCTTGTGACTGACTAACTGGTGTGAAAGTTCAAATGAAGGCGAGCAAGCAATTTTTTATGCATTCAGGCAATTACGTGACACAAATTAACAAGAACAATGGTCTCGCCTTGTTGGCGCAAACCTTACATACATGTTCGCAGAGGTCGTTTGCTTAAGATTGAATATCAAAAATATGCCCAATATCTCAACGTAAAAACGAATTAGTTCACCAATGAACTGATATACTGTGAATATACCATTTGCTTTATTGCAAAAACAGTTTTACTAATTATAACTGGTAAAAATGCTAAACTATCGGTCGATAAGCTGTAATTTGCCGTGTCACGATAACAGGGTGGACAACTGTGAAATTAAACATAGCTTTGACTATGCGCTCTATTTGGTATTAGAGAGTTTAGTGCCTTTACAATTGTTTACAAACACACTGTACATAGCGTTGTTGATAAAAAAAATTGTGACCTGTAATTTTGTGAAACTGCAAACACCACTGAACTTTTGTGCCAAAACGACACCATAAATGTGACCAGGTTTTGAATGTACTGCTAGTTATTTAAGAATGGATGGAACCAAATTATCTACTTAACAGCAAAAGCTAAATCATGTATTAAAATTTAATTCAATTAAAATTGATTTGAAACTCATTTGAAATATCTTATACGATTTTCAAGTAAAGCATTATATTTGGTTATAATTTAACCAAAAATAGCATAATTTTCGATGAAATTCAAACGTGCTTCACTACACACAACAAACGGAAGTGCGCGTAATGATCGTCTATTGATACTGAGACATAAAACTCTGATTCACAGACGAGTGATCTTCAGTTGTTTGGTTCTTTTCTCCCGATATCATCAACGAAAGTAAAACTGTTCAAGTGTCTCGGTATACCGAAATAGGCCATGGCTGTAAAATTCTGTTCCGTAATGGCAGTGTGTATTGTTGCTCAGTTTTTGTCAACTGCTGCCAGTTCAACAACAGCAGCGCCTCAAAATTGCAATAATGTGGCACCTTGTAGAACAGGTAAACGAGGGCCTATAGGTCCCCGTGGATTACCTGGTGTTGCTGGAAATTGCTCTTGCAATCGAAGCGATCAGATCGAGTTACAGAAACGGTTGGAAACAATCGAAGGTAATTAAAAACTGACAAAAGTATGTTTTACTCAATTTATACGCCGGTAATTTCAGAAAAATAGGTAACCAGGATACCATTCCAGCGTGTGGACAGAGGTTCACGAAATGGATAGAGGTTGTGTCAATTCTCGCGAGTCTCAATTATATGTCAGCGAAAACATTCAACGTTATCGCCAGTCCCAAATTATTGAGACGGTAGTTACGAATATAATGGTTGAAAACAACAAATTGTACATAACTTGAACACTTGTAAGTCTGAGCAATAATAGCTCTACTTTTGATAGCTTAAAATCGTTTGTTCAATCTATTATACTTTATAAATTTCAGACCATGTTTTGAGAATTCGACGCAGTTCACCAGGTATAGATTTTATTCTAATAATTTGTTATTTCAATAACATGTCAAATAAAGCCTATTTCGTATATTATTAAGGTAAAATGGTTCTACTAATAATACCCATGACATTAAATAGATATATAGCGTGCAGCGCTTCAGCTCGCTCAGGTTTTAGATATTTGGTACTCTTGTTTCAGCAGCAGCAAATAGTGATAATAGTCGCAAGAGAATCTTTCACGTCAAATTTGTCTTTCATGCCAGTTCCTTAGTATTAATATGACATCTATTATTCATTTATGCCAAATTTCCAATCAAATATGTAGTTATCGTATTATCATACCCCATACCCACACATTTGCTTTACCTAGAAAACATTTTGAAAAAATAAAATAAAAGTTGGTCAGCGGCGCGAATCATTAAATTGTTTCAAATATAAATTTAACACTCATCATATCGTCTAAAATTGCAGATACATACTGTCTGCTCGGAATGAAGGACGGTACGATCCCAGACAACGCTATTTCTGTGTCGTCTCGCGAGAATTATAAGGATCACGGCAGGCTTGATCAACTAGTTGATGGCTGGTACCCTTTGTCAAGTGAGAATTCGTATTAAATAAAAATCCCAAATTTATTGAATATTAAAATAACTTTATCCATGCCATCTATAACCTACAGATCACGCGTCACGGACCGGCAGAGAATGGATCATGGCTGACCTGGGAAAAGTGAAAACAGTAACAGGAGTGGTTACTCAGGGTCGACACAACAGTAACAACTGGGTATTAACCTTTAAAGTGGAGCACAGCGTTGACGGGAGAAAATTCTACGACATCTTGAAAGAAGATAGAAGTGAATTGGTCAGGGTAGATCTATTTTATCTTTGAAAATATTACTTGAATTTTTTAGATGACGCCATACCAACGCCCTTCGCGATAAAAAGATCTATTACTTTACGTTTGCGCTGTACAATGAGTTGAATAAGTAGCTAAACAAACTTCCGCAACCTTTCTTACATTGTCGAACTTTTTACTTGAAATGAAATTATAAAAAGCGCGTTTGATAAAAATAACAGGTATTGATAATATGAAATTACTTACATTCAAAATTTTAGTTATCTTCTTGATATGTGTCAGCTGAACCAATCATTTTAGCTGACATAACTATGTCGGACTGGAGAACTATTAAAGTGACATATTACTAAAGTAGTTAAAGTAGTTATTACTAAAGTAGCATCCTGTGACAAGGCTTCACATTTTCATTTTAGATATTTGACGGAAACAAGGACAGAAGTACAAAAGTCATTAACCGATTTCCTAATCCAGTTCAAGCACGTTTCGTTCGGATTTATCCATTGACTTTTGTAGGCTATGCATTCATCAGATTTGATGTCATTGATTGCTAGTTCACTTCCTAGCTGGAAAGCAGTAATTATTCCAGAACAAGATTTCCCACTATATACATTATGTTTTTATGTGACTAAACTTGCTGGTAAAAGTAAATACTGAAGAGAACAAGCAGTAAACAAATATAAAAACCGAAGTTCATGAGATGGAAGCTTAAGTCAAAGTATTTCCTTCCAGCCCTGAGCAGTTTTGACGAGGCTTGATTCCTTAACTTGTACTCTTAATAGAATGACTCAGACTCCTACTCAAATAACCTACTTACTCCAGTGATTGACTCGACTTTGCCCTCCTCGACTCGATACTCTGCTAACCCGTGAATCAGCTTGACTTCTATACTACTTGAGTGTAGTAAACTGAACATATTCTATCTAAATTTCGGTCCTTTGCTCATCTGTCTAATTTTAAGTTGGGTTATGTTGACAATACCTTAGCAAAATTATTCTAAGAGAGTGAAAACATAACTTTTCCAATATCCAGACACCTTATGTCAATTCAACTAATGTCACTTCGTTTATTTTCCGTCGATCTATAGCGCGTTCTTATAAGCAAAGTCATCTTATGTTTATGTTTAGATGTAAAAACAAAATCTAACATGTTTGCTTCTATTTGAACGATTCACATTTTAGTTCGTTATATCCAAGATTAGCATTATCTTTTGTTAATGAAAATTGGCAATATCCTCACAAGATAGCAAGGGTTATATAGAATACTATACTGTATTTTTCACGTGCATTCCACTGTTATTTCATGCTAGATATAAATATGTATTTACTATACTCACCAGATAAATATGGCTAACGAGATACACAATAAACTTTATAATTGGAACTTTGTTCAATCCTACATCAATAGGAAGAGAGAAAAATATCCAAACTGGTGGACAAAGTAGAAAACTGAAGCAAAGTAGTATCAGGCGACCATCCGACCATTTTAGATTTCCGACCTGAAATGGTGCGACAACACGGTTAAGTAGTTGAGCGAACCAGAAATTCAATTTCCAGAAATTCAATTTAAAGATATTTTATATTGCAAGAATAGATTTCATGACAGTATGACGACTTCAAAAGTTACAACGTTGTTAATGTCGGCTATATTTGTTCACACATTCCTAAAGATAAGATACAAATCAAAATTACACAGCAGAATACTAGCTATATCGGCGTGCAATATCATATGAAACGGATAATAATTGAGGAATATTTACTAATAAATATTTAACATATCTAGATATTTATTATATGAGATTCATAATAGTATATATATTTGATGGTTTTATTATTGCAGAACGAGGTTTTGATCAAAATAATTGACAATATTTCATGGAGACTTACCTTCAAAAATTAATCTTGATATGATATGATGATCTTGATATCTCCTCTATATTATTCAAATGATATAAAATAGAAGAATACCCACCCACACGTCTGAGAGATATTTCTGTACTGCTGGATCTGCAATCACATTCTTCTGTTCACAGTCAATTAAAACATCAAGAAATGGAACGCCTTTGTTGTCTGTTGCTTTCAAAATATCGTTTGCGCCTTTTGGTGCACTAAAAATTATGATAAACAGTACTAAATGATATTGAAAAAAGTAAATGAAATTGTCTTTAAACCTTTAGCTCGCCTCTGAAGGAGCATAAAAAATAGGAATGAGTATGGGAAGTGCAGTCTTAACTCTTGATAAGAGTTGAAAAAGGAAAGTAAAGACAAAGAGTAAATCTCTAATTCGGATTGTTATTTTGAATTCCAAAAACTGAACTCAACTGTCAGGATGACCACGTTATATTACTCACCATAAAAGAAGCAAAAACTGCATTATACAAAAAAATAAATTAGGAACAATATACCTGCATATACCCAAAAGTTCTACAGCTAACGATTCACTGAATCTGGCACATTCCTGCAATCCTTTTGCTTCTTCTTTGACCCTGTTACTTAGAAGCATGAAAGCACGAGAAAGTTTGGCTGCAGTTTCAAGTGGTGCTGGCGAAACGAGAACAAACTCTTGCAATATTTCCATCTTTTTTCCTGATGAATTCCCAGCGGTAGCCGGAACTCTTTCTATTGACACTTGTGGCAGTAAGTGTGCCGGTACTCTTCCCGCGCGACCTCGAGGAGTTGCAGGCCTACTGTCAGATGAGACAACGGGCATCGGAATTGAACCCCCTTGAGCGGCCATATAGGTCGGAGCATTTGACTCAGGGGCACTTGGTGAACTTGCCACCGCAATTCTCATCAAATCAACCACAAATGTTCGATCCTCCAGTAAAGTATGAGTGTTGTGATTTTGCTTCAAAAGATAGCTGACAACGGCCTGAAATTTTGTGTTATGCATTAAGGTTCTTTACAGTTAGTATTAAATAAATATACTTTGAATAAATATTACGAACGTAATGTCCTGCTGCAGCAGCGTGTTGAATTGGAATTTTTCCATTATTTGTTTCGGCAGTAGTAGAAGCGCCTCCTTCAGTCAGCAATTTCACCATCTCAAGATAACCAGATTTGGCGGCAAGATGTAACGGCGTCCAGTTATTCTAAAGTGCAGAAAAGGAGAGTGCATATTATGCTGAATGTACTACACTATATAATCTATATTCTTTTAATCAGTTATTAAATTACTTTAGTGATGGTTCGTTTCTGGATATAGTAAGCCTAGCACTCATCACAGTATTTACATACTTTATCTGATGTGTCAATTTTTGCTCCTTGTCCCAAAAGAAGTGACACCATTTCAAGATGTCCATTACAAGCAGCATAATGGAGGCTAGTAAACCCTTGTGCGTCTTTTGCTCCGAGTTGATCCAGATCCTTACTGAGGAGAAGACCAACAACTGCAGTATGACCACATTGGGCCGACAAATGCAGTGGCGTCATATTCTATGATAAAATCAATAACATTGATCGTTAGAATGTTAAAAGAATCTTACATTGAGTACAAGGATAATGAATCAGAAATATATATATAATATACGACTTTCGTATAGCACACCTTCGCCGATATGGACAATAGGAAAGGCTGGGTAATAACCTCATTCTCCACTCTCAACTATTACAAATTAAGCGTGATACCAAATTCTCTTAAAAGTCATTAAATTTTTAGCTAAAACAATTCCTTCTGGGACATTTTCTTCGATTTTTGTTCCTTGGCCACAACAAGAACAAGGATAAACCCCAACACTTTATCAGAAAGATCGATTATCTTACTGTATGTTCAATAATTACACAGAACTCTTCATTCATACAGTTTGTGAAGTAGCTAGCCCGCTTTACATTTGATGCATATGCATGCTTTCAGTCTACAAACCTGTACGGCAGTGCCGGCAGAAACATTCACACCAGGGCAGTTGAGAATCATTCGAACAAGATTAACGTGGCCAGATTGCGATGCAAGGTGAAGAGGAGTGAATCCGTACTAAATAAAATGATTGTACAATATAAAAAAAGGTTTTCCTAACCAAAATATTTTATAGTAATAAGGAATAAAATATATTGTGAATACAAGGCAGCGAGAGACATCCGGAACAAAATGAATCTAGAGCTTTGAAAATGACATGAAGGATAAAAATTTCGATACGATTTTATTCGACCAAACTCTTCACGTCAGATAATAATGGACGGATGTTCAATATTTCATCCTGCAGCTCAACGCCTTTATTTGAATCCATTTTTGTATGCTTTGTTTGTTTTCTTTACACTAATTACACTCACCTCTTGAGATGTATCCTTAACATTATCTTGTCGATTTGCTGAAGCTTCACTTGCAACGGTTGCACTTATAAATATGAGCATTTCTCTGGCAAACTCTTCCTAAAAAATTTAAATGCAAGATTTCAACATGTGGATAATGTGGCTTTTTAATGAAAGAATACCTTTGGAAGGTATACACTCTACTGTATTACTACATAATTATGCTACTTATAGTGTATAGTATATCATATAGTAATTGGAGCATTCACACTTTATAACTTACCAAGAAAGAGATAAAATAAATAGATATATAAAATACATATTTTACGATTATTCATATGTAGACACCATTGCAAGGTGTTAGTCAGTTATAAAGACGAACCTTTCCAAATTGTGTGGCAACATGCAGCGCGTTGAAACCTGTTTTACTGCTCGTCATTCTCCACAACTGATCCTTGTTATTTTTGATGGAATCGATTACGTGCGTATGTCCATACTTAGCTAGTAGATGAAGAGCATTCATTCCTTCCTGTAAATAATAATCATATAGTAAACTTCATTTTAATAAAATAAAAGAACAATTGAAACCAAAACTTACTGCATCTTCGTCCATCACTCTCGCACCAGAATAGATCAACTTTTTCACAACATCAGCATGTCCTCCTTTGGCCGCCAACAGTAAAGCAGTTTGAGACGTCTGTACAAACATAAATATAAAGAATTTCTACAGACTAATTTAGCTCCCAATAATGATGTATTAAGCTACTTCCATTGATTTGATTTAAAACAATTACCATAAATGTCTTTTGGTCATGTCTATATTATATAACAAGTTGACAATGTTCCATATCGTTGAGGTAGTCAAATTTGACCACATTGATGAGTTCCAGACGTCTACATTCTGCATATATAGTACTTTAAGTAACGATGCCTTTGGGGTTGATATAATATAAAGGACGTTCATAACGTCTCTTTATAATCAAATGATAGTTTTCTTGAATTGTAAAAAGATTTTATGGCCGACCTGTATATAATATATTCATTTTGAATTGTATGTTTGTTCATTGTCTGACATGTATACTTGAGGTACTTTTATTTAATCTTTGTTCATGAGACACTGTTATAATAATCTAACCTTATTACGGAATTTTGTCACGTTGTCCGCATCAAATTTAAGTAGTTCAACAATGACAGCTACACTGCCCTTGGAGGCTGCAATATGAGCACAGGTTGAACCAGCTTTATTGGTCATCGTTACCAATTCAGGTTGATGCATAAGAAATTGTTCTACAACTTTAGAATGATCATTCTCCGCAGCCAGATGAAGAGGTGTCTGCCCTTTCTGTGATAAAATTGTTATTTTAGGTTTTTCTATATCAAAACAATGAATATTATATATATCTGGATGTGGTTTGCGTCACAAGGATGCCTGAACCCAATGAAATTAAAAATATTGTTAGTAACAAGGAAGCAATATGCCATTATACAAAATTTAACCTAATATAATATGTCGAATAAGATTTTGTAGTTTTTAAAGATCTCAATTAGAACGTGACCACTCAGCTGTAAAAGAAATATAGCTGACGTCATCAACATGCCAAACTATGAAGTCATGAAATTCCCTATAAGCTCTGAAGGTAATTTATTAAATACATGCATGAATGACTGTATTGTTTGATCGACGATGGTGCGTGAAATCTATTTCACAGTATGAATAAATAATGGTGCCAGAAGACTGAGATTGGTATGATTTACCTATATGTCATTTCATTCGTTTTAACAAATTCATAATTATTACATCTACTTTCGTTGCCAGTATCTCAATTCAAAAATATGTCGAATATTAATCAATACGATACAAGAAATAGCATTGAAGACAAGAAAATCGCGTTCTAAACCGACCAGTTGTGCGTTGTGAAATCGTATATAATATCAACTGAAAAACACACCTATCCTTACTTTCGTTTCATCAAACCATGATTAAATAAACTATGTGGTTTCCACATCTTGGGTAAACATTTATTTAGGAAACCTTCGACGATGAAATAGTAATGTTTGTTTTTCTCTTCTATCTCAAATACGCAGAAGCTTTATGAAGTTTATTAGTTCAGTTAGATTCCTGTCTAAGACCATTTTGTTTGCGAACTTTACCTCAAAGAAGATTTTACTTGAATTGTTAAATTGGCAAATTAAGCTGGATGTGTTTTCAAGCTAGCTTTAAGGGGTTGAATATTTGTTCAAATTCGTTAAAATTAGCTACAACCAAAAATTTATACTGGGTGACCGAAAAAAACAAAACCCATAAATACCGTGTTTTTTAGTTTGTGTATGATTATATAGTTTTGGTAATTTAGGACGCATTGAACAAACGTTATCTTCTCCCTGGGATAAGTTTCAAATTACCTGGGTTTTGTTTTTGTGGGGTAATCACAAACAGAGAAATGTTTTGGTCATAAAATAAATAGAAAAATATAGTATTCATTCATATTTAGCTGCAAAGACTTGGTTAGCGACTGAGAATGAACAAAAAGAAAAAAGAATCATTTTATCCAAATTACATATCACTGCAAAGCAAAATAACGGTTATATATATCTACAAAGTAGTCAGGGTAATATAAATTGAAATAAGCTTCCTAATAGTCTTCCTAGAACTAAAATTAAATAATCTGATCGTCAACTCCACCTAGGTAAACGAGCCCACGCTAAACAGTCATTAATTATAATGAAAATGTGGAATAGCGGACGAAAAACGACGGAAAATTACTCAACATTTAATTCATTGAATTTTCTAACAGTGTATGTCATCGATGTTTTTATCCGCCCACATCGTCGATCAAATTATAAAATAATATTTACCGGAGAATCATACAAATACTTGACTTTTTTACGAGTCAATTGCGAAGTCTCATAAGCCAAGGACGGGCTTATCCAATATTAATGAATTCAACGGAAAACATAATATCAATCAAAATATCTCCTTGAATGGATACGTTTAATATATAAAGATAACCAATGTTTACATTATGCCGAAAGTGAATTACAAAATCAAATTTTCAATTGGATCGATTCTTTGTGATCTTTTTATTTGAGATTTGTAATTGTATTCTACATGAATATTTCAAAAGCTTGCTTACGTTATCAACCATCTGCACATTTGCACCGGCGTTGAGTAGAGATTCACAAACGTCATATTGACCGTTTTCTGCAGCTTTATGCAAAGGAGTTTTCTTGTCCTAAAAATTAGAGTTATTTGTTATAAACCTGTGATTCTTGGATAAACCTAGACCCCAGTATTCATTCACATATTTAAGTATAGAATAAATTGCAATAGTGACTTTTTCACAGCGTTGGTATCTTATCGTGAGCGTAAAATCAATAATACCCACAATTAATGATTCGCATTACATGAGTATATAACTAAGACACTTCGAGAATTATTTCTTGAAAGATTTTATAACTTACCACAGCGGTGCTAACTATTTTTCTGAACAAGATATTAGACATGGACATGAATATGCTAATACAAAAAAAAACTAATATCCTAATCGAATCTATACTGACCAAACTTCTGGCATCAATCGACGCATCATGCATTTCAATCAAGATTTTCACTAAATCATTATATCCATTTTGTGCTGCAAGGTGCAAAGGTGTTAAACCCAATTTGGTTTTCGCGTTGACAAATGCTTTGTATTTCAATAACATTACTGCTATTTCAAGTCGGCCATTTTCCGCTGCCAAGTGGAGTGCTGCCTTGCCATTCTGAGAAAACGGACAACTCATTTGGTTGGATTACTGATTAGTGTGTTGATTGGAATTGTTTTTTGTGGAATACAAAGGCAATTTAGTGCTTTTCCAAGCCATGCTGAATAGGATGAAAACCATGTTTTAAATAATCATTTCTGATGTAACTCAAAATATTGTTAATTGCTTGTCGCGATTTATTTTTAAATTTTCCTTGATACATTTTGATGAACGTGATCAAAACCGATGAAACGATAAACTTCGTGTGTTAATAACATGCGAAAATAAACAAGAGAGCAACGCTCAAATATATACAGATGTAAACAAGGACCAAATGACTAATGTAGATCCTAAAATCTGTGATTCCCCGTTTAAGAACTGTAGCAATCCACACATACACCAGTATGGTTTTGGCTGAAAACAAGGTTCTCCAGAAAAATATACTGGCTAGTTTGACTAGATTCCATTTGATGCGCAACATACGCAAAGCAAGCTGAATTATATGTCGGGCCCAAATAGACAATAAATATAATAGCATTCGTGTGAAGGAAATCTGTCTAAAAAATTGAAATCGATTGTTCTAGTAGTTGCAGGGAAAAAGGATTTTTCAAAACAACGTCAAGACCAACAACCCCAACAAGAACAACAATTTCGTGAAACGACCCATTACTCCTCTCCGTGTCTTACTGTATCAAACTCATTTATAATAGTAAAAACAATATAAAATGCTAAATATTAGAACTCAATTCTACCTCATCAAACACATCCACTCTTGCTTGTTGCTTCAATAGCGCGTAAACACAGTTATCGTGTCCTTCTTCACTCGCAAACAATAACGGAGACCATCCGTTCTGAAATACAAAAAAATATTGTGATATTGCATAGCATTGTGTCATTGATTCACGTTTGTGAACTATAATTTATTAAGGTTTCCGGATAAATAAGAAATTTTTTTCAATGAACGATCTAGCTATCAATGCGTAATATGCAAATTGTCTTCCACGCAATATATATCGTCCCTGTAACAGATCGTACGCACTGCTAAAGATATTTTTATCTAGAACAAAACGAGTAGTATACTAATATTGTATACAATAATGATAGCAAATAAGCATACTATAGAATTCGGACTGGGTAATTCAAAGATGTTTCATTACTGTAAGAAAAACGCGATTACTTTGGAGTAGACTGGTGAATGGATTAAAAAAGTCAAATATAAAACCCAGAAAAATACATTCACTGATATCGTATATATGGTAACTGTGATAACATGACATTTCTTTCAAGCATACCTTTGCTTGTTTGTTTATAGTTGTTGGCATATTTGCTGGTCCGATCCTGTCGATAAATATTTTGAGAATTCCTTCGTTTCCCGATCTTGCTGCGTAATGTAATGGAGTTTCCTGAGCAAACATAAAGATGTACTCGTTATATAGGAGATGCGTCAGACTTTATTTACGTTAGTACATACATAATTTAGGTATTTTAAAAAGTGCTGGTGAACTTTATTATCGGACACAAAATGGACCCATGGAGATGATATGATGTATTAAATGTTCATTATTTAATAATGAAAGAGAAAGACTATTGCTTTTAATATATATATTTTTAATTTCCGTTGAATCCTATGAAATCCCGATCTATCACCCAACAATTTTGCTGATTTTTATATTTCATGAACACACCATATGATATTCCCTAAATTTTTTTGAAATTGCGGCAGCCATATCAATCATTTGACCGTCGTGTGCATATATTTGAGCATTGCTCTCTTCTTATATTTATGGTTTGATAAATTTTTCCAACCTGTGTTAATTTGGTGCAATAATTCAAATCTCCGCCATGTTGTAACAGAAGAGACATGATATTTTCTTCCTCTGAGTTAAAATGAGATCTCTCTGACGTCAATTCCGCAGCTAGATGAACTGAAGTTTCGCCTTCCTGTAAATAAAATAATTGTAAGTTTATCGTATATAAGAAAATGCAAAATGCATCAAAAACATTTCAAGCAGTATTCCTTTCGGTTTTACTCTTAATCGAACAGAACTAACAACTAAAGTTTTCAGAATTGTTTGGATTTTTCTCTCTAATTATTCTATACAATTTTAAAAGCAGTATTTTTATTTTACATTCAATATATTTAGTCCCACCTTATTTTCCATGTTGATGCATATGGCAACGTCTAATTTGCTCTGTTGTTCAAGAAATTTTATGGCTTCTTTCACGATATGCCAACGACAATGTCGTACAGCAACATGGAGAGGGTTTTCATCCATCTGCACGACAAAAATTTTTGACAAATTGAATATGACGTAGAATTTAAAGCAAAAGCAAACACTGATACGAATGCTTAGATTAAAACCAGCAATGCCTATTACAAATTAGACGTTATTTGCCACAACTGCTTCATGCTAGGTACATCTGAATGAACGCTGTTTCATTACCTTGGATTGAAGCATGATGCTTCCACTCTCTTCCAGTAACAGTTTAAATGTATCAACATGTCCATTCCTTGCAGCCATATGAACCGCTGTTTCTCCGTCCTCGCGGGGGCAGTTAGGCTCAGCGCCAGATTTCAACAGCATCTCAGCAACTTTATCTCCTGTGATGAAAGAAATCAGACAACAATATTATAGCTTTCTTATATATCCAAAAAATATTTGGAGTATTTTGGTCAACCTTACCTCCTTTAATTTTCGACGCAAGATGTAGAGGTGTTTCTTGCAACTTTCCGCCGGCGACTTGTACAGGGGCACCATACCCAAGTAGCATCTGTACAACAAGTGGGCGACAATGTTGCACAGCAACATGCAAGGCTGTGAAATTGTCCTGTAAATAGTAGCAATAATTAAAATATGAATATTGAAGTATATATATATATTGTTTGACATTGATAATTATTGACAATATACTGATGGACAGAAATTGGATATATTGCATATATGTAGCCCTGATTTAGAACAAAAAATCATATCTATCTATTTTCATGAATCAAACAAAAAGAAAACATTTTTTTCAAAAACGTGGTCTAACTGAGATAGCGTGAGAAGAACGACAAAGGGAACATGCGACTATCTGCTTCAATCAAAAAATAGTAACATAGTAAAGTTTAAGTACTTTTGTTCTTGCTTCCACATGCGCTCCTTTAGTCAACAAGGCTTTGACGACGACTGTATGACCATTCTTCGCAGCGGCATGAAGACAAACAGCACCTGAAATGTAACGTTTTAATTGAGTTGGAATGGAATAACTTATTTTAAGATAGAATAAAAGGCAAACATAAAAAAGGTGCGACATGAGCTCTCCACGGATTAATGGCATTTCTATTAGAAAATTGAATGGAAATACATTGTCCCCCTTTACAATTTGAACCCACTCCTTTCACAGAGACTACTGAGGAAAGAGCCGAAAAAAAACGTTCAAATTGTAGCAAAGAAATTTCGGTGTTTTACCATGAAAGATGCAATAGTTTGTCATCAATAAATGGAAATATTAGATGAAAAAGTAATTCAAACCTGATTTATTTGGCATGTGAAGAGGCACACCTTTTTTCAAAAACGCAATTGCTGTGTCAGGGTGACCGCACTGAGCTGCAATATGCATTAATGTGCTTCCGTCCTAAACAAGTTAAAATGGTTGTTAAAATGGTCATAAACAAGTTAAAAATGCGGTATGTATTGACAAATGCTTGATTTTAAAATATATATATAATGTCATTTAAAAACTGCGGTACTTTCTAACGAAGCATTCAGCATATCAATGAGAGAAATGGGCGAATAACAAGAAAGCGAGCAGCGAAAGTGTATACAGTATATGACATGGCTCAAATGTTTTAACTGAATAGCCTCTAGGTAAATTATATAATAATGAACACGCTAAACATATATATATATATATATTCACATTTCGAAGGACAAGTAGTCTCCTGGCTCGATAATATACTATTTTGGGTGCACCTGAAATATGTGCAAGATGTCGCATAACCTGAACCCTGACCTGGTAGACATACTATGTTCAGGTTGTACGACATCTTGGTGGACATACTTTGTTTAGGAGGTCCCAATTTTGACCGTGCTTAGGGGCTGTGAGAATATTACAATGATCGTTTTTATGGTTGAAATTTTGTTTGTAATACGGTAACTATTAATAGTAGGTGATAAAATTGGGTGAGATTAAAGAATATATAATTCTAGATCGTCGAACATTGTTAAATTTCGATTTGAGTTGTACACAATCGTCATGCGAAGGGCTTGGCTTATACCCAGAACTCGAATCTCAATTCTATGTCAGCAAGGTAATATTCACGATCTATCAACGTTCACTAGCTATATTTCAAATATAATATTTCAAGTTGCATAATGTTACTTTACCTTTGTTCTTGCTAGAACTGAGCTCTTAAACTTGTCAGTGAGAACATCAACTACTCCCGTATGACCTTGAAACATATTGTGTATTCATGTAAATGATTACGTGGACAAATAGATACCGCCCAAGTCAATACACAATTGAACTCGAAATCACGTCAATATACAACTGACTTATCGCATTAATAAGAAATCAGGCCGCACTTACTCGTTATTCACGTTTAAATATAATTAGATGGTTGGATAATTTTGGTGTAAAGTCACGATTCTCTACATTTTATTACCTTGTTCAGCAGCAACGTGTAACGGAGATCTATCTATGTGATCATAAACGTTAGGATCTGCTTTCATTGTGTACAAATATTTAACGATTGCTTCATCCCCCATGTATGCTGCAATATGCAAAGATGTTTTGCCATCGGCCTAAAACGTGAAAAATGTAATGTAAGGATACTAAATGATCATGTTTGAAGATACCTTGATATAAAAATGGAAGTCATCAACAATATATTGATCGTAATATAAAACGGGATAAAAGTGGATGGCTATCTCCCATGGGTCAAAGTCTCTGGCAACATTTCTGGGTACTTTTACCAATAATATTTTCACTTTGGTCATGTTAGGTACGTCGATTTATCAGCAGCCTATATGCATGAAAATGATATATATATATAAGAAATTAATTATTTCGTCAGCAGAAATGAGAAAACTAATATGTTACGCAGTAGGTCGGAAATCGGTAGACACCATATGTGCCTACCTGGGTTTAGAAGTTTAATGTTATGAAAGCCTTATAATGTAATTCGGACCTACAAAATGTATTGGTGCGAAAAAGTATCATTTAACAGATTTAACAGTAATTGCTATCGAATATTATCTTACATTCTTATTATTAACGGGCGTGTTGTAGTCAGCGAACATTCGAACCATTTCCAAATCTCGTCTCCTGCAGGCAAGATGAAGGGCAATATCGAGACTTCCTGACTTTTCATACTTTAGTTGTTGCTCTGAGTGTGACGTTAGTAAATCTTTACAAGCTCCTTGGTTGCCAGATTCAATTGATAAAAACAGAGGTATGTTTCCGTCCTGAACACATTAATGGCAATGAGTGCTCTACACTTTGCTTCAAATCTAAATGATTCTATCGAATACAGCTTCAAGAAACTATATAAAACATACTGCGATTGTTTAATTTAAAAATTTTATATAAAGTTTTGAATTTTTTATAATTTCTCTAAACATTGATGAATATATATATATATGCTTTTCTCGCAACAATCCAAGTTATTCTAAAAGTATATAAATGTTAATTAAACCTAAATCAAGCATCGACTTCATTATTTATTTCGGTAACAATCAAGAATCACCAAAATGTTAACTGCGATGTAAAAATTGAAATTTTTTGCGTCTCTAAGACAGATTTCCAAGAATTGGAATGAGAAATTTATTTAGTTACGTTTCCAAAATTTACCTAATGATCTATTTGTTTTCTTAGAATATTTGGTTTTGTTGCAGCAAACAAAAACAACTCTCGAACATCTCTGGTAGACCAAGTGACTATAGGACAATATTATATAGCAGCACTTTTCAAAAGCAGGAAATTATATATTAAATCCAAATGACAGTTATGAACATGCAAACTAGTTTGTATACGTCATCTCGCAAAACACTATCAAAACGAGCATCAAAATTTTTGTAAAAGTTGTTCTTGGTGTAAAGGTTCGGGGAAGCATCCATTCACGTACAGAAAACAAAACGCTTTTTAATAAGTCATGAATGCCTACAAACCTTATCTGGAAGAAGTCTCATACTTGCTGGTGTAGTTTTCAGTAGCAACTGCATAATACTCCTTGAGTCACTGCCCGAACGAGAACAAGCCATATGTAAGGGAAGCTGTTCTTTTTCCTAAGGTGATAAGATTTTATGAAATGAATCTGATATTTATGAATCTTTAAGAATACAAATTAATTATATTGCAATATCAAAATATATCAAAATTCACTTACTCCACCCTTTACGGTGCAATCAGTTCGCTTCTTGAGCAATACGTTTACGACATCTTCTTTCGCAGAAGCCGCCGCAAAATGTAGGGCATTTCGTCCATCCTGAAACAATAATTTTAGTATATAATGTTAAACTTATTAACTTGCTTTTCAAATTTTGAATTTATAACAAAGTCGCTTCAATACTTCCATTTTTAGAAGCGCCAACAACTTAAGAATTTTTTTTGTAACAGTTACTAATTAAATGTCAATTGCAACGAGTTCCACAATACAGAAGACTTGAGATAGTTAGACAAGATTGTTAGTCTCTGATAACAGTCCTCAGCTGTACCAATTTTATTACATACCCTCGCCCTATCGTTGACGTTTATTCCAAGTTCAATCAGCCTTTCAACAATGATTAATTTGTTGTCACGAGCTGCCAGCATGAAGGGATTTATTCCAGTGTCCTGTAAACGAGCATATATGTATATTTAATAAAAGCTCTTAAAACATTTTCTTTCAACTGAGCACAAAATCAGTTTTCTAGTTTGAATTATGGGTTTCAATAGAAAATTGTAAGACTCATGAACGATGCCCTTTTAATTGAGAACAAAGTGAAAACATTAATATAGTATTTTTCATGCACGCCCGAACGCACTGCACTGTTGATATACACACCCACATCATAAGTCATCATATTATGTTTATATGAATTTTTTGATCATATCTTACTAGATACGCCACCATGGAGTACAATAAAGATCATTTTCATATGTTTTGAAGTCAAAAGCGATTTTATTTTCGCTCCGCGCAGATATCAAAAACTCAACCGGAAAATAAGAACCTTGGGTTTTTCCCTAATTTTTTTTTTCCTTAAATTTTAAATAACCAGATTTATAATTTCCTATCTATTTGATATTGTATGTAATTAAGCACATCATGTTGAGAAAACATAGTTTATATAATATTTTAGCTACATGGAGTTGAAAGGCGGTGTTTATTCATTACTTATCCAGTTAAGTCAATTACTTACGTCGTCGACAACAAACAATTCCGGATCTCCTTTTTGACAATATCTTATAAGCAATTCTACTTGAGCCCACTCTCCTTTCAAAGCATGATAAAGAATTTTACTCATACCATCACCCACTGTTGACCCACTTGCAATCGACAATGTGTCGTTTGGAATTTGTTTCGATGGTGGATCAGTACCTATATGAGCAATAGAGGCCGAAGATGGCGATGATTTAAATGGATTTGTCTTCGAATTTGACGATTCTTTTGAAGTAGACGCAGTCCAAGTAGATGATGTTGATTGGCGTCGATTAATGCGTGCTGAAGACTTTTTACGATGAAGCTTTCCCTCGTTTTTACTTCCAACATCTCTGCCTACTTTCACCGGTGGTTTAGTTGGAGGAGACTTTTGTTCGACACTTATATCTTTGATACTTTCGATTTCGTCTGTTTGTGATTTTATATCGTCGTCTTCATCTGATTCTTCCTGAAGTGTTTCCCATCTAAAACTTTTTGGAATATCCTCACTGCCGTTTTCGTGTTCATTGTTTCTTTCCGAGTTCGATTTATCCGGAGATGAATCGGAATTTGTTTTGGAAGTTTCTCTTTTTCCAGACATCGTATTGCCCAAACAGATACTTAGATATAATAATCGAAAAACATAATGCGCCGCAACATAGCATTTTAATTAAGATAACCAGCTCTACATAAATCTATATGTTTGTCCTCGTTAAAAACAATTACTTAAATTAATTTAGTAATCTGGTAGCAACCAAATAGCCACTCGCTAGATAATTTGTTTGCCATTTCTATTTCATATTTTACTTTACAAAATATACTGGCGCGAAATCATGCAAGACTTGATCTTTGAGTGTACAATTTGAGATATCCGTATCGACGAATGAATCTCCGAATAATTGTTATGGCATCCTATAATCATTTCAAAATATTCCATTACACTGTTCGTCTTATTCTTATACCTACATCGACAAATAATCAAGCGTTGTATAAAGATTTTCGTGCTTATGCTGAAACTGAAAATACGCGACTAGACATTGCCAAGATTGATTATTTGAGGAAAATCTGCTCCCATCAATGATTAATTGAATTTACAAAATTTTTCAATCAGATTTCAGTTATGGTTTGGTCTTATCAGCAACCATATGGCGTATATTAAGAAGTAAATGTTTGTGTCCAGATAAAGAATATTATATAAAGCTTTTTTATATCGAAATTTACTCAGTACCGTCCTTTATTGACAAGACATTTCCTCTACATATATGAACATAGAAAATTTCATCTGTCCATTCGAATTTCTGTTTTTGTCTTTTTTACTATTAAATGACGAAAACGAAAGCAACAAACAATTTTGATTTCACAAGTAGTTCAGGTTTCAAACATTCATTTATATAGCGTGCTTTTAGCATTGGTAATTTTATATGATTCTGATGTGCAAAAATTCTGGGAGAAATTTGTATGGTATAGTTAATAATGTTTCTTATAATAACTTTTAGTCCGAATTTACCTAGCCATAAAAATAATGTAATCAACTAACAATTAAGAGGAAACAGAGATTCTCATTTTGTCTTATCTGCGCCTCGTTTGTCGAACTGTCAAATTTATCCTATGTGCAAGTACATACCAGCAGAATATCTCACATGTCTCAAATGTATAAGAACGCGCTAATGAGCATGATATATAATACGAAACAGATATCGCTATCTATAAGTATTTTCACTATTAATTCTACCTAACTTCGCTTTCGGAATATGTCCTTGTCAAACCATGGAAAACAAAGAATGCTCTCTGGCGTATTGAGACTTACAAAACGTTAGTACATAATCGTTAATTTTCTGGTTGATACGCATCATTATTATTACATTGTATGTGCATAGACAGCGTCATACTACCTTTGAAATATGTCCCAAATATATTTGATCTGACAAGTTGTAAATTTTATTATCCCCATGGAATGAATGGATTTTCTTTTTTAAAGATTTTATACAGACTTATAAGTGGAGGCAGATAAATATCTCACATTCTATGCCACCGACATTTCGGTATATTCTGTGCAATAAAAGGAACTGTGTAATGACGAGTATTGATTAAACAGGTGTTGAATGGAAGTTGACCTTATTCCCATCTGTGGAAAATCTCAAATTTGAGTTTCACGCCTTACCCCTATATTCAACTTCCTCGGTACTTTAACAAAGTAGTACTAGTATAAATGTAAAAGGACGCTTTCGATATTTGCGCCAGACAATATGGAAACGAACTTCAACAGGGTATAAAATGATAGCCGAATATAAAGCGTTTTCCACCAGGGAAACCTGCGGCAAAGACAATGCCCAGTTAGTGAAATAAATTATGATATATTTCCCCACCATGACCCGGTTAACTAAAAGCCATATCAATTACCAGGTAACATGCTATTAGATTTTGAAAACATTTACACACAATTGATTCCAACAGATTTTTCAAAAAATGAAACTTCCTAATTAAACTCGCAACAAATATTAGTTATTTCAAAAACTTAATTTATATCTTGATCTCGTCTTGAAACATTCACTTTCTCTACATCAGATGTATTTACCGATTCGCACTTTACTCCTACGAAACGAAAGTCAGTTTTCTCGAAGGAGGTATTAATCATACTCTTCGTTACACGGGACATTAAATGTTAGTTTAACGTGATGCAGGACCAACGCGTCGATAACCACGACATAACGTGATTCCCTGGTATGCAAACATTGGAATATATGTACAGCCCTAGACGTACATTGGACTAACGGAAGAGAAGATATTTACTCGTAGATTTGGGTTAATGGGAGATAAATATACGGATTGGAAAGGTGTAAATTGACTTTGCGTCATGAAATGTAAAAATAAATGCAGCTGATAGTCTTTTTTATCACTTTCAGAAAACTAACAAGGCTGGAGATTCGACGTGCCCAGGTTTGATATTGGCTACTTCGTGATTCCTGAAAGCCTAGACAACTTCCTGAAATAAATCACAGTTTGACCTTTTTTACTAATACCTACTCGGGTTATGTTTACGATAAGTATTGGGCAACTCAATATTTCAATGTAAAATATGACATGGCATACAATTATTAACAGCGCCTGCCAGAATTATATTACAGCAGTGCAATTTATCGACGCGTGAAATACTGTACTTTTCAAACAAACGCGTTCAAACAGAGTTGATGGCCTGCTAACGTTCTAAATGGATCCAATATAGGCTACGTAGGTGACCGTACATTTGAAACCATGTACATTTGAACCCATGTGTATATCCGCGAGTTCAATTTATATGCGGGTGCTAAAACCCATGGGCTAGGGTTAGTATGGGTTCAACTATCCGCAAAACAAAAAAAAATTTCATATGTGCAAAAGCATGCAGGTGCAATTACCATAGGTTCAAATGTACGTGGGTTCAAATGTAATGGAACCGCTACGTACAATACAAAAACGCTTGTGGTAATTTGCAATGGGGTACATTATGACACATATTCACCAGAATAATGTACTTTTGCACTTCGAACACGTTATAATTTCTTGTTGGCATGCCTTGGTTTTAAATAGAGTTCTAATATCTATCACCATCGGGATCTTCCATTGTGGCGTGACGCATATCAACTTTGGCGTCCGGTTTAGACCAGTCATCGCTCGAACACGAGTTCTGTGAACGACGATTTCATGAGTGTATTTAAAAAGTGGAACGCATTAAATCTGTGAACTTTTCCGCCGTCGTTTGAGTTCAATATGAGAATTATTGAGGTGTCCTTTGCCCCAACATTCTTAAAACAGATGATCAACCAACAATGCCATAAGCTGTCGGGGCATGTGATCGCGCCATAATAGACTATAGACTTGGAAAAGTTTCGCAACAAAGGCTAGTTTATTTTGCTGGAAACCCTTTTGCGAAAATGTAATTTTGCCAAAACGGATTCTACGCAAATCGTAGGGATTCATTAAAAAATATTTTACCTAAAATAGACGTGAGATTGGTGCTTTGGTGCGTATTTCAATAAAAAACAAAACTGATACAAAAAAAGACATGGGGGAACCGTATGTTCAAAAACACGCAGTTTTTTAAAAGTAAAAATGGAACGAATCCTCACGCAAATGAAAAAAAAATATGAATAACGAGAAACTTCATAGTAATCTGAAAGACTTACATCTTCACAGTCTATTTTAGTTCAAAATGAATTGGACTTAAGCAAAAAATACATATATAGTCTAATTTAGGCCAACATAATTATAAATTTCCTTCGAGAGCATATTCCAAAGATGCTCGATGAGTTGCTAGGTTACTTTGTGGTGAGTGATTACATAAACTAACTTTTTAAATGGTAAATACCGTGGACTAATGTAAACATTATATTCGAGTTTCATCAAAGAAAAGAAAACATAAAACAAATGCCAGTATAAATTCATCATTTCAAACGCCGACTTGGTGGCGCTTAGTTGCTTACATAAGCTACATTAAATTTGGGTAAACCAACTTAAATTAAGACTTAAAACGTCGTTTCAGAGTGTTATCAATAAATATCACATTCTTTGCGTTTAATTCACCTTACTTTTAACGGCATATAAATTTTTGAAGTGGTTTGTAAAATATCTTGATGAAAACACATTGATGAATTCAGATCGAAATTTATGACAATGCACACTTATATATATATCATTGGTCCGTTGTCTTGTATTGAACGTTCTAACATTCAATACAAAATAATTATTTTTGTATAATTTCAATTCTTTTTCTCATTAGAGGGAGGTGGTTTGTTTGTCAGGCAATAAACTGAAATTAAACTATACTACTATATATATTTGTATCAAAAGCGTAGAAAAAAGTTGTGTTTTCATTGTTGTTTTTGTTGAGAATAAAATGGTTTTTCTGTTTGCACTGAAAATATCTTTTTCGAATATTCAGTAGTTAAAATCGAAAATCGGATAAATAGATCGGAGTTTTAAACGGGTTTACTTTTTTTAGATTAAACCTGGTTCCGAATAATATTTATTCGAATACGTAAGGTGGCGTCAAAGATGAAGTAATCTAGTGATAATAAACAGAATAGCATTCATCACAGAACAGAGTATGTGTATATATATACAAAGTTGATAGATTTTGATAATATTTTGAACCTTTTTGCTTCATGATTTATACACAGAAATTCACGCGCGGCTACCAAAGGGCTCACAACTCGTTTTCAACTATACAAATAATATATTTATAAATATCACGCTCACCTGCCCTTGATTTTTTGCCTCGTTCAAACATTGAGTCCATGATCGTAATTCCAATTCTGACTTTAATTTTGATGCAACTATCGACCAGTCAAAAATCTGGCTGGATATTCTCTTCAATCCATGGTTAGTTGTAGGTGCTGGAGTTGTCTTGGTGTCGTCTTGTCCTTCGGGTTTAGTCGGCGGGTCGGCCGGATTTTTCTTCGATCCATTTCCAGCAGACATTATAAACTATACATTATTATAAAGAAGTATCTGTCAATTGAGTTAATACGTACAATTTGTTGCCATATCATTCTACAATTACCAGTTGAAGTAGCATATATATCAGAAGTATGTACAAAGTCAAATAGCGAAGATGAAACGCTCCGACAATTAAAACAATAGTTTACTGTTACTTTCTCAGCAATATTAGCTTGGCATTAGGAAGATTTAAAACTAAAAAAATATAGATTTCGACCAGACGTAGAAGAAACTTTGCCTGGTATGTTGGTGACCTTTCTATCATAGCATAACTGGTTAATGGTTACTGTTCATTGCATTGCAGGACATTCATTCTCCAACGAGTGCAATCAAGAGTCGATTGGCGCACCGGAAAAATATTCGAAATTTGAAGTAAAATACAAGTAACCATGTATTTTTATTCATATAAATGTGTTTTAGTTGCTTGCTGCTACTGTATTACGAACTTTGAAAACTGAAGAATTTGTGAGATTGCATTTTCAAAGTAAACCTAGATTCATTCGGTACTGAGATTCGCACTTCGCATGAACCCGTTTCTTGTAATGTCGTGATAATCAGCGAATAAGCTTGTTGTATAGAGCAGCGGTCCCGAAAGGGGGCGCCGCGGCGCACTAGATTTGCTAAGTGCAGCTCGAAAATTACCAAAATTGTGTTAGACATAGTTAAATATGATTGAATATTTGAAAAGATGTGTTCAGAGCAGCAGTCGCACACCTCTCATTAGATTAGTGTAGGTTCGCCATCCTAAAAAAATTAAGCCGAACGAACAAAAAGTTCGGGAACCGCTGGTTTGGAGCAACAAGTTCGGCATGACTTTTTAAAATGAGGGAACCTGTTGTTAGTGATTTCGATACAAAAAAAAATTTAAATTCCTTTAACTGACTAGAGCCCAATCCCCGAAGGATTCATTCACCGCTTATTATCTTTCCACTATTTTTGGCCTATTTACTGTAATTGATTTGGTTTGGTTTATTTACCAGATGTTGTATAAACAAGTTAAATATTGTTGTATTCGCAAAGTTTACTTGACTTTGCGTATATAAAATCTTTTGAACGCATCGGTGGTCGGCGATGCTTCAAATTTAGAAATATATTTACTTTATACAACATAGTCGATCATTGATGATTGATTTTTGTAACGTTATCATGTTAATTAACTGTAAAAGTTTAGTTATATTCCATAAGTTTAACTACAGCGTGATGTTGCTTTACCCACACGCACTTTAATTGTGTCAACACCATCGTAATAAGAGTGTTTCAGTTCATAAATTTACTTTATCATTTTCAATATTGGGAATATTTGTGTGCTAACTTGATTTGATTGTGCGCTATTGAACTAAAAAATTTCAAGCGACATAAAACCTTTTCTTGAAAGTTGTTTTTGTTTGTATTGAGTCAATTTATCGGTTCAATTCGTAGGAGACACGTTCAAACATAATTCTTAGAATACGTGAACGTGTCGTTGTCAAAAAGAATTTTCTAACCCTAAACTTCAACACCCACGATTAATAGAAATAGAATACAAGCCATTATTTAAACAAAGTTATCGGATAAAGTGGCCTCAGCACGAATATTGCGTTATAATTTACATGCCAATTATTTCCATCGTGAATGTATGTTTGTCATGTTTGACCGATTTAAAGACGGTGTAATTTTCTCACACAGATTGCTTAATTCTATTTCATTAACAGTGATCTCTGCAGTAGTCTTTGTAATCGAAATGTCTACCCATTAACAATCTACAACGAACCTGTTAGTCCTCAACCTGCTCTCATTTCCGTCATAAATATGTTTGGTATCTTGTTACAATCCGCCTCACGGCCGCCCTACATTTCCTAAATATGAAGTTTCATGAACTGCCGGGATTCATAAAGTCGGTTGTGGCGTAGCATTGTTGTTTTTATCTTTGTTTGCCCACTGGATAAGTTGTCAGGTCCCCCGTATTGTTCTCGTCTGGAATATCTTTTATAGTCGCACCAGCAAACTACTTCAATTCATCTGAACATATATTTGTACACATACTTCATAGTATAATATTAAGTCATTTAAATTATGGAAAATTTAATTTAGTACGAAGAACTTTGTACAGTGAAAAGTTTTCGATGATTTTACTTGAATTTTTCAGTAATTCACAACTTATTACAACGGTATAACTAAACTTAAATGGATTTTTGAATGGTTTATCGGTCGTGTACCAATGGTAATCCACATAATAATCTTTTTGACTATAAATAATACGAAGCTTAGTATTTGACTTAAAATTCCAACGTGCTACATTGACTGGAAAAGCTATTGCTGCTTCGCTTGTCGTCAGATTGAGATGTTAGTTTGGATTTTCGGTTGAATCAAAAATTGGGACAGAAATAGTTAATTGACTGCTATCGGCTCACAGATCTGCTTAAAAACTTTACTTTGTGCTTGCAATGTGCTTGATTTTTTCTTGAAAATTAGTATCGCACATTTCAGCGTTATAGTGTAGGGTGATGCACAACTAATCTTCATTTTATGCCAGTCTGGGTGGGGATGCGAATAATTAACAAAAAATATGGTTTTGTATTACCTTTACAATTTATTACCTTTTATCACAAAATCTTGATTAAAGAAACTTTAATTTGTCAGTTATGCATGCACAGAACATTATAGTGGCCTGAAGCCGACCCGGATATATTGTTCTGAATCGTTTCTAGTTTTATTAGTCATAAGGCCGTAAGGTACGTTTAAACAGATTTCAATTAAAAGATCTATTACAGATTTAGTGCTGAATTATCAATCAATAACGTTTATTTTGATTTCCACGTCGCCTTGCTCGATTCAAAAGGCATTTCATATCATATCGGAAGGAATTATCAAAATAAACCATGTATATTACAGAAGGTGTTTAATTAATATTAATACAGAAGTTAGGAGAATTGCCCTGCCGGCTTTGTGATTTTCAAATAGTCGTATTGATGAAATGCTACTTTGTGAAATATGATATCTTATGAATCATACACAATTTGTGACCCGTGAAGGCTCGCAATCCAAATATCAATGACGATAAACGCATCTTACAAAATTCAATAATAACAAGGTTTATCTCCAGACACGGTTCCAAAGGATATATATTGGTAGGAGAGAAAGAGAGACAATAAATACATGACGTAAAATGGGTATGTATTGTAGACTCGGGCACCGTCACCCTCGCGGTGCTCGATATTGGTTATCCTTATAAATATACTTGACTATAAAATAAATCCGTTTCGTCCTCTGTTTTTTGTTAACACTAGACAGGAAATTGATTCATTATATATGTAACACGGCGTTTTTTTTTAATTATACCACAGACGTTAAAATTTCAAAATAAGTCCGTGGAAGTTGAAGCATGAATTACAGGCATCACCGACATATACGCTCGAATCACAGTGAATCAAATATGATATACGAGCTATATATCAAGATTTTATAGTTTTGGAAATGAAAGACAATGGCTAAATCTGACTTTCAAGTAACTGTATGTTGATACTTTTTCTAGCTTGGACGACAAATGTTTGGCGATGAATATTTTCAGTGGTTTTTGATCTTATATATGAGCTCAATGCTCTATATGTGGCATCTCGCTGTTGATTCATACTTCACACATAAAACATAGTATACTGCTCCGTACTTGGTTTTGCTTGGGTACAGATTTATTCAGTACTCGTACATATTTAACAGATAAACAGAATAAAAACACAGTAAATTAACTCATAATGATGTCCGTTGTTGATATACATTGGGCTCTTTGGAAAGCGTATGTATTCAAATGTCCCTCCAAGCTTACAATAGCGAATTGTTAAGTACGGTATACATACAACGGCAACCCTCTTTAGATTTTAAAGTGATGAAGTGAAAAAAAAATTGACAAATACGTAGAAAAGACATAGGACTAGTTCTCGTTACTGAAGCCCACGGTCATTGATCTTTACAGAACTCCATAAAACTGTTGAAAGTTCATTATAGTTTGCACATAACTTCCTTATTAGCTGTTCGCTCGTGATGTCCTCCATATTAGAACTCATTATCGTCACTTCGGTAATCGTTTCCGCTTTTGAGCGTATTCATCAAGCTGACACTGTGGCCTGTTAGGTAGTTTAGATTGTAATGACTTTAACAATATTTGTTTGTCGTTGAACAATGAAAACCTCGCCATCCTCGCCATATTCGACCTGTAATAAAATATTCGCAAGTTCCATTTAGAAAATGCTGCTTTTGTCCATTAGTACAATGAACAAAATACAAAAGGGTAAATACAATTCAACATTTTAGGAGCAAAATCTTCACACTATATATTTTAATTTATGCATTCTATATAATCTCAAATATTTACTTTATTTACATTATTATTGTGATTCAAGTTATGATCTGACGAATTCAAAACGTTGTTGTTTGTGTGCTTGTTCATGCTTGCAGGAATATCAGACATAGCTCTACGAGAATAACGAGCTTCTTGGTCCAAGAAAAATTCATCATCAGTATCATCACCCATTTCGAGCTTAGAAAAAAAAAATTATATGATTATGATACATAAAGCGCCAACAATATGTTCACTATAGCAATCATTGATCATCAGCGATCCGAAAACCGTTGAATTGCAAAGGAAAAATAGTTACAAATCAATTGAACGAATTGACTAGGCATAACACGAGGTGTTTTTAAAAAGATGGATAATCTTGGTGATTTAGATCGAGTTTTGATAATATTTGGTCTGGTACAATCCATAAACAAAAAAGTTTCGCGATAATTCTGATTTTTCGATAATGCACTATCACCCACATTAAGAATCGCTGCTAAACACCACGCGATTTTTTGAGATCCGAATTTAAGTTCATATAGTATGTCACCAATCTCACTTAATTTGTTATTGTTATTTTTATCCAACACTCACAGCAATGGTGTACTGCCCTCACATTGGTTGACATATTATATACTGTATGAATAAATACTGGTACTTAAATTATTCTTGTATATCTCTATTAATTAAAATAATATAAGACGATTTGTTGGATACATTAAAATTCTGTATTATTAATACAAAGTGTTTGGCGTACTTGCAGCAGCATTGCACTGTTTCGTCTCTGTCGCCATTTTGGATCGTTTTCATTTGTTGCAACTGATTTATCAAAATTGGGCTTCTCTTGAAAACTGTATTTTCTACTGGAGCTTTCGTTGTTTAGCTACAAATTGGATAAAAAGGGGATAACCCACTTAATGGCATGACATAAAACTAACCAAACCAACATTGAAAATCGACGTTCTTCTTATATTCGCATCGTCAACACAGAGGATTTCTTAACATTCTTTCCGAATTAGAGTGTAATTGACCTGACATGGTTCAATGATAAATACGGCAAACGTCATTGCACGACCGTTATTTTGTTAGTGAAACTTTCCAAAGTAAGACCGCAGAATTCGCACCAGTCATATCATACCTAACGCTTGCGCAGGAAGTTAGTGAAACTTAAAACGCTTTACTTGGGGGAATTTTCAGAAAATATTTCACTTGTACAATCATCGTCCATAGATATAGATAGATAAACAAGCGCTTAACGACAAAATTGAACATTTGTAACAAAAAAGAAAAATTTTATATTCGAAATCCCAAGTCTGCGTCTCCCCTCCTTATACGATGTTTCAAATTTGAGATTACAACAGTTCTTTAACAGGTATAATTTGACTCAGTGCATCATTGAGATCACATTCCTTTTTTCATGCGTGATTTTCCTTACAATTAGCGAATCCCGCCTACCAATCTTGGCACCATAGAGAAAGCATCTCTTCGTTAAGCCATTTGTATAGTCTACCTTTCGACGCCCTATGTACCCAAACATATTTGAGAAGTAGATTATACTAAATCATGTTTATAGTTATGTTGTAATTAAGAAACCTTACTTCGGAAGACTGTTGTTGAACCACAATATTTCTAGTCGCTAGTGGGCTGGGCTCGGTTGTGCGATTCCTTGTGATTTGTGTAATCGGGCTATCTTTTGTTGCCATAGTTGTTTGTGTCATTTGAGATGACTGAAACTGAAAATCAAGATGATCAGTCCTGTATATATATATATATATATATATACATATTTACTTTATTCAAAGCATTACAATTAATATAGATACTGCTTTTTATGGTTAAAACCCAATTGAAAATGTCTACCATAATTCATAGTCTAAACACACCTGTCCATTGGCAACTGTGTCTATTCTTGAGTTATCTCTGTTTGTGTCCGATCGCGATTGGAAGCCATTATCGTTGAGTTTTCCTTTAATTCCCTTCTTAGCTGATCTATATGATTCATAAATGGAAGTAAATTTTAATTAGATGAGATAGCAAATTTTGGCCTCTCTGCGAAGAGAAGTTGAATTGAATTAAAATTGTGGAAAAACGTCGCTTTAAAATTGTAAAAATGTGCTGTAAGGCTGTTTGTTATTAGACGCAGAGAAGCCCATGATTCAATATCCGCTTCAACTTATCGCTAAAAAATGACTATCATGTCATTACCTGAAGCTATCAGAGAAGGAGCCATGCAGCATAGTTGAGCTGATGAATTGGACTCTTTTGCAGCGGAATATATAGAGAAACAAGTTGTGGTATCCACGTCTGAAAACTGGGTTCATGGCGCCATAAATAATAAAATTCACGCAAGAGTTTGTCAATGCCAACCAGCCAAATATCTACAAAGATTAAGTTGACAAAATTTAATATTTTGGTGAAAAAGGGTATCCAGTCAAAATCTGGAATCTTCAATTTAAAATCTATTTGATAACATAAATATCAATTTGCAGATTTCATATATAACCAGTCAAATTCGATTTGTCACATACCGCGATCTTTTATTGTTTGGAAAATGTAATGACTCCTTTGTTATGTTATTTGGTAGAGTTTTCGTTATTGTTATATCTTTGCTTTAATTGCAAATGGGTATAAAACATAAAGTTACAAATAGCAAACACTCTCAATTAAATAAGAAATGACAAAGAACGATAGGAATATAAAAATAAGCAATCGACACTTTTGCAATATTAAGCATTATTCAGCTTGTTCCGGCTTGGCTAGGGCCGTAATGAGTTTAAAATTATTAAACTATTATTGTGTTCATAACATTATCCTACGTTATCAATTTTCAGAGAATGCCGATGAAGGCCATACAATCTCTTTGCCACTCACAAGTCACCCACAAAATAGAGCAATGTCAGCATTGTCAACTTAAACGGTTCTTATATAGATTGAAAATTCTTTAGTGATACCTTTTTTGCATGTTTTGGCGTTCCGGTAGGGTTAATGAGAACGCAGGCACCAAAAGGCACCCAACAACAACAGAACAAAAGAACAGTAGTCAAAAGCGTTTTCAATAAACTTCTTTCTTTTCTCATGGATCGTCGATGTTGCTCATTGTTTTGGGATATTCCACTTCCAACGCTAAGGCTTCGAACCCACCTACCGCTGCCTCTTACAGTTCTGCATCAAATCAAAAGATACATTGAGAAATGAAATGACGTAGTTCGAAAACGTTTTTTTTTTTAAAAAATTATTTTTACCGGATTTAAATCAGAAAATCTAATTTATCGCCAGAATCAAGCATGACTTCAAGTCACTGGAATCATTTCATAAAATATGCAACAAATTTGAGCGCCATGAAGCTGTTGGATTAGATTACGTAGAGAAAACAAATTCACGACTAGATGCGGTCTCGAACAACACCATTTATTTATATATATTGGAAAAGCATCAGATCAAAATTGTTTTCAAGTTCAAACATCGCAATTGAATTTATATAGAAATATAAGTGGGCGTAATACTCTGGGGATTATATATTGTAGACTTGTCTGGGAGCCAGAATTAATTTAATCAATCTCCAAAACTCCACGAAATTTATATGAACCGAGATGACCAAACGTCTTCGTCGAGGTAAATGATAATTTTAATATTAGGGAATGCTTGCATTACGATGTATTAATAAATAAATGGATTGATAGTCCACGACACACCAGACGCACAGTTTCGATACCACGGTATCAATGTATTATATGTAAAACGTTGGCTTACTCCCTGTCTATGGTGCCTTATAAAATCTTATATGTAGTATTTTACAAAAGCCGTGCAATTAAAATACAAAAACATGCATCAACTCACGCAAATAATCGGAAGTAGCAGAAAGCAATAATACAAAGCGGCATAAAGATAGCTACAAATGTTATAAAATATGTATAGGAAGGTGCAATTGAATCGTCCCAGGAACAGATCATCATTTTCCCGTCGTATCTAAATACAAACCAATTCATGCATTTTTCATAGCAAATTTCCGTCAATGTCAAGAAAATGGTATTGAAGTTTTTCACCAATTATGAACAATAGAAGGGGCATGGTATATATATATTATTATATCTAAATCGATCGATATTTCGTTTATGACAATTCGAGGGGCTCAATAAGAATGGTCGCTCTAAAAATGCTAAGTAAACAAAATTGGAAACTAGATATATTCGATTTGCAAATCAGTGTTTCTGCCAAATTTGTCATTTTCACTGAAAGTTCAGGTTTATTTTAAATTTACAAAGTAAAATCAGGCGTTTATTAAGAAGTTGTCAAAAAATTAATTCATTAGAATATTTGAAAAATAAATCTTAACAACTTTGGAATACCAAATATTTATATATAGTCAACATTTCAATCAAAAATTTTTTGTAAAATTCGTCACTTATCAATAAAGTCAGCTTATATTGGAAAATTTCTGGTTTTATCTCTTTTCCACCTAATACAAATTGCAATTTGTAAAATACTATTTTCCAGTTTCTAATTTTTTTAGTCTCGAATTTATGATACCCATCAAGTCAAATTAAACATAATCTCACTTTAATCCTCCCCATCCTAAGACAGTTGGTGATACAAGAAGTGCAGACCACAACCAAGTAAATGCTACCATGAAATAAACACGTCTCCTTGGAAACATTTTTGGATAAGTATTTGGTCTGACAACAGCCCAGTATCTGAAACGACAATTTATTTTTTATAGTAATATACCTTACCAACCTTGTAATTTTTTTTATCCCTGTATTACAATAATATAATTCAATATCATGTAGTCTTTAGATGAATATCTCAACTTATGAAATAAACTAAACTAAGTCGGGAAATTTTTACTGTTATATATATGGCAATAAATAATGTTTTGGCGAAATCGATAAAATACGTCATCTTATTGTAAATTAGTATCAACTATTTCATGATTAAAATGAAAAGTTGACGACTTTTATTTGGCGTTTTCAATGACTGGAGTGCAAAATATAATATTGCGTTGAACATGATTATTCGGCTGAATTAAGCCATTGTATGTTCTTGGTAACGGATCGACATCCTGCGGTTTTTATTACCCGATTCTTCAATACCTAATACATTCAAATTTATCAGTGACGAAATAAGAGGTAACGCGTCCGTATAGTCTTACCTGTTCACTGCTATAAACATTAAATTACATAATGAACAAGTGCATGTTGATGTCACAAGAAATCCAATTACGCTGCAAAACACGTGTTCCAATGCATTAGATTTCGCTATTACATTTGCTATCACCGTCGGGACAATGACAGCGGATACCTGAAATAAATAAAGGTGGAAATTAGCAACACATGAATTTTCTCTGACCAGTTAGGGATGGCAGTTACTTATTCATTCCAAGGGAGTGGAAAGGTGATAAGGCGGTTTAATCATATGGCGAACCATGGCTTCTCGTCCGGTTACCAGTTTTAGCCAGTTATTGTGTTTCCAGATGCATGGACTTGGTGGTGGAGCGGTTACGTGTACCATCCTCCATCCATCCACCAACCAGCAAATATTCTCCACAATACGGTGCAGGATTTATTCATGATAAATATGATTTTTGAGCAGACTCAAATAGGGATGTTTGCCAGATCTTTCACCCATCGATATTAGATATATATCGACATATACTTGATAATTTCAGTTATCTCGTGGTAAGCTCAAGGCGCTTGCAACTCAAATTTACCGCGATTTTCATTTACTCAAAGTTCTCCTGGCAAATTATTATTCAGAAAAAGTTATAAATATTTGGAAACATGTCATCAAATCAATATTGCAATTTTAAATATATCGCACTTTTTCAAATTTATAGTTGATTTGAGGAAAATATGCTTCTTCTATATGGCCAGAAATCTTTCTGAAGTCGTGTGGGATGTATTTTTATTATAGCATAAGCCTCTAAATTAATAATTCTCGATAATTATGAATATTTTACTTACAATTAGATCAGCAATGGCGAGATTGATGATAAAAATATTTCCATGAGCATGAACCCTTTTTTCTAGTGCGATGGAGAACATAACGATCAAGTTTCCAATCGTTCCAAGGACGGTGATGATTGTCAAGTATATAACTTCCAAGTACTAAATATTATAGCAAAAAGTCAGTCACAAGTCATTAGAAAAGACACATATATATTAATTACAGCTGGTTTTGCATTTGCGTTATAAAAAAGCTTCCTGATGGTTGGCGATCATCTTGTTATGTGTGCATCTGCACTTTCATCTGCCCTGCAATATTGGAAACAATGCAGGATGAAGGATAAAATACAGGACCATGTTCATTGCTTAGACTGCAGGTGTTGGCAAGGTTTTCGAACCAGGGGCCAAAAATTTTGCCTACCTAGACTGGTAAGCTTTACGTGTGACGTAAAAAGTTACATTTTATGAACGATATTTACAGTGTTACAAAAGCAACAGTGAAAAACCATAAGCCCCGTGCCAAAACTAAATTTAACCGCAAGCTTAACAAATTGCTTGAGTTATTTTTAGCTAAAACTAAGGTGACTTTAAGCTAAAGGAATTTATGGGTTTTTTTCGGGAGGCAGGGGGGTGTCAATCTGTATGACTTTGTGAAAATCAATTTATAACTGAATGTTAAGTAAAATTTACACCATATAAATTGGCAGATGGTTCTATAATATTCAAACATGTAAAAAGTACGCGTTGTGCTATATCAATTGCATCCAAAATAAAAATAAAAGAATCCCAACGACAAATTATTTGGTTAAAACACCCAAAATCGGAATCGATTTACAATTTTCGATTAACTATAACTGCTTGGAACATGGTTAATAAACAATTTCCAAGTATGGTCCATATCATGTCAACTTATCGGTGTTTAGCATCAAAACACAAAAGCCAGTAATCATTACACGGTTGCTTTGCATACTTCCCATATCCATTTTATTTGGTAAACGCTCAATGATTCATTTCCAACGCTATGAATATCATACAATTGGGTTCAAATGAGTTCAGTATATCGATATTGAACAATTAGGACATTGGTTCAACTTGTATATATCAGCGTGTCTTCCCTGTTCATAACGAAAATTACCTTCAGCAAGAAATTTGGTTTTTCTAATCGCTAACACAGCGTGCCTTATCCAATATGTTTTCGCCAACAATTTCAACTATAATAATTTCTGATTCAATTTCGCATGAACAGAAGTACCAATTTGCATACAAGTTCAAAGTCGGTTCAGATAAATGGTATTGTAATCAATAATAACATCAAAACTCACGTATAACTTACTTGTAAAGCTCCAAAGTCTGGCCAATAATCCGGTTCTGTACTTTCTGGAGGTAATGACGTAGAAATATTACTTCGCATTGTTTCATTAATGAGGTCTGTAGCTGATGTCATTATTCCTAGATTTGTTTTTCGGTATACCAATTATACTGTACGGTACTCAATAGAAACAAATGCCCGATAAAAAGCTAACGATACAGTCGAAACTTTTAGGTTTACTTTAAGTTTGTTTATGTCAAATTTTAGGTTCTGAACATTTAGAAGTTTGAAATGTTATTGCTTGGCTTAGCCTATAGCGAGGAAAATGATCTGTGGTATTTCACGTATACGCTATCCTTGAATAAGCAACTCGATTATAGTCATTGAAAACAAATATAAATGTTGGATTCACTAGCTATATAACAACCAACACCAGTGGTTTAACCATATTCGAACCGCGGAACACTGTATGGATCATGGATTTTCCGTGGAACACCAAACAAATATTCCCGATTTCTTGGGAAATATCCGAATAACCAATAATCTCGATCAGTTTTAGCGTAGAATAAAATTACAACAAGGCTTATTACTCGAGTTATGAATAACGTTGATAAACTGCCTTAAAATAGCTAAGGGGATATTTCTCGTGGTGTCATCTTTCGAAAAAAAATTGAAAAAAATGTTTCTAAATTAAACCTCAAAACGAAAGTCTGCTCTTTCAGAGGTAGAATGGTTGATGGACGTTTCTGTTTACTTTGGCATTGATTTGTTTATTACGTATTGATGACCAAGCAGCAATACGTTAAAATTGAAATTCAGGCAGCCGTACAGACTTATTGGCTTGGTTTTATGCGCCATTTATCATTTTTTATTAGTGCCTCTAAAATTTAGACATGAATAAAATCCCTCTCCCACACGTGGAAAATTCTCCTTGTACTTTCACCATTGACTAATTTTATTGCGTCTTCAAGAGTATTCTATAAGCTGGCCTTTGCAAACTGTTTTGAATTTTCAAAATCAACATTTTGTTCTTGAATACCTAAGCAGCTGTCATAAAAAATACTGAACCTATTACATTGATGTATCTTAGTTTTTCGTAATCGTTTTTTTTATTTCTGTACTTCAATTGAAAGTTTTCACGCGTGACTTAGCTTTAAGCTATTTTATTTATTTATAATAAGACAAAATGACTGCTTCATTCAAACCTAAATTCTCAAAACACAGTAGAATTTGACTGATGACGACTGACAACACGAAAACGAGTCAATGTTTACGATCGTGCTTGAAAATGGGGTCTGGGCGACTGATTAAATTTCAATTGTTACGCTTCCGTTAACATTTCGCTGTTTAGTCATTGTTTCGGGAATAAGCTAGGAAGTCCGTTCTTAGGGAAACGTTTATTACACGCAACAAAATCTTCTTAAAAACTCAATACGTCGTGGATTTGGATTTCTTTTTGTTTTCATAAAATATTGAAAAAATGGGGACAATTTGACGTGGAACACCCTGAAGATTGAAGGTTGGAAATCGAGAGTAAATGCCGTTACGACTGGACGACTCGTAAATATACTCACTTATATAAGTTACGCAACAAACATTAATCACGACTGCACCAAACACAACCTACATAGTTTAATCTAAATCTCCATATCGAGTTGTTATGATCTCGTTAGCCAAATAGCAACTGTTGTGATAACAAATCGTTATCAACAACTTTCGGATATAGAAACTTAAAGATAAATCGCGTCACTTTCGTTAACGTTCCTCACTCAAATTCACCTTCACGGGTTATTTGTGGGACGTCGTCGATGTGATGCGATTACATTAGTAACTATATATTTACAACAGTTTGCTTCAGGCCATTTCAGAAGTCCCTCGATAATGTCAGCGACAAAGAGTGATTTCTCCCATGAAACACGAGAATCATTTATTCGCTCCATTACGTTTGTTTTCACATATACATTTCGGAAAAGAAAAATGCATTAGCCACAATTTCCGCACCAAACCTCAATAAGGCGACTCATCTACTGAAAAGCATCCATTGGGTATCGACAATAGCGGCAGAATTTGTACGCGCTTTTACAATTTCGCGGGATAGGGGAAAGTGCCTTACACGTTCGTTTTTTAAGATGATATGACACTAGGCTTCACGCAAGTTGCCAGTTAAAATTACCTAAATTTAGTCTTACCGCATCGACATGACCAACCCGCTCATAACCTGAGATCTATAATATGTATGCGATACCAGCCTTGGCCATGCACTTGGAACTAAACTAGGCTTCGACAGACGTTCTCTGCTCACAGCTTAAACCTCAATGATGTTGAAAACGTACTTCGCACTTCTGTTCTGTAGCTGATTATCCAAGGATATGAGCGAAGTATACATTTCCATTTTTACAAGACGATAAAGAAGACTAAACTAAAATTCTGAAGTACAGTATATTATGACGCTATGAGCTTAATAGATTTGCGTCACCTATTTGGTGAATCAATCCTCGTTGTAGAGCGGAGAGCTGTTCTTTTTATAGTATGGTCGGAATTATTTATAGCAAGAATGAAAAATGAAAGCGAAGAATGCTGGTATTCAATTTCACAGGATTTCAAAAACATAATCAAATCGTGAATTTAGAAATATCCCAATTTTTGATGTTTAGCGATACCAACTGGATATCAACAAAATTTGAAATTTCAATTTAGAATCGCTAGAATCCAATACCGCAATATATTAATGGCGTTCTTTTTCTAATTCGCGAGTTTAACATACTAGATATACGTCATAATGTTTTTGAATCATTTGGTTAGTTATGAGGCTATGATTTTGAGTGATCGCGAAAAAACGTACCTATATTTGATACCGATATTACTAAACGAGCTATTTTGTTAAACAATTTTCTGAATTCGCGCTTTCAATCATCTATATTCCAAGCAAGGCTCTACCTAGACTAATATACTTCCAATCACATGGGGTTACTATTATTGAAAGTGTCGAACCTTTCAGACTTTATACAGCCTAACAAAATTGTCTCACTCTCTATTAGGTGGCAGACACGGATTGATTTAATGGACTAACGTTTTGACATTTCTGATTTTTTTCTCTTATTGCACTTCAAAAACATATCTACGGGGCATGCTACGCACACTTCCGGTTTTCATGTTGCTACTATCACTTGGTTCGTTAGCTATTGTAAAAATCAAAACGTGCTACCGGAAAATGAGTACATCATATCGAGGAAGTTTCGTTTCGGAAATTGCGTAAATGGGAATGATTCTTTGGGCCCAAGTACCGTATGAAAATGCAATGTGTGATGACATATCCTAAAGGTCGACATTTTTAGATATGGATGAGAGGACGGAATTTGGAGACACATTCACCCACCAGAAGTTTATGATAAGTCTAACCAGCTATGATTATCTCTGATAAATAATATTGAATTTTTGAAACTTTCTGTTGGTAAAATTTTATCTCGATTTTTGAGAAATTTGTCTCGCTCTTCGTCGATGAGCAATCCGTGAACTACACCCCTAAGTTCAATATTGATTACTAATTATAGTACATTACGTCATACTGGAAAAAATAATGATGTAATCCAATTTTAGTCCATCGCAATTATAATTTCGTTTTGAATTTGTCTGGTAGTTTGGTTACTGGTTATTGACAATTAGCAGACTGAACTTTTAGGCTTATGTTACAAAAATAATATATATATTTATCCGTTAAAAATAGGATAACTGTTCAAACTTTAAAATATATGTCTGTTATTTTTAAACCTTACACGTTGTATTTCCGATTTTGTTCAAAAAATACAGCTTTCTACACTGCCTCATACTTAATTATAGCGATTCCAAATAACATTTTATCTTTACATCTATATACTGTACACGTTTTAAAAATTAGCAAAATAAGCATTTCAGTAAGCTTAATTAACTCCAATACAAAATGTCCAAACAGACCATTTTCGTCCATAAAAATACCCTAAAAGTTAAGTGGACTTGATAATTACCTACCTATTCACATTTTCTGAGATTCAGGTAACACTAACACAAATTACTGGCATGGAAACGTTATGTGTTAATACATACATTTGTCCTCCCATACTATTGCGTAGTTTGCATGCGTAAATTACTCGAAATCTACAATAAAAGCAATACACACTCGGACTGTTTCTAAATCACTAGCAGTGCCCATGGAATCCGTTTTGTAATGTTGATAATCTACCCGAATATATTAAACGTTTCAGAATGAAACAAGTCTGCGCTCCCAAATGTTGAAGCTTACAATTGTGAACCATGAACGCGGCTCACTCCTGACAAAAATGCGACAATCCTAAATCTTTCAAATCATGACTTAAACCAATGACGCCCAAACTAACGTGATGTGATTAACCATCTCCGGAATTTCCTTTTCTTCATATGCATACAAGAACTGCAAAAAAAAAATAAGATAGCGATTCGTTTTAATTGCACGCCTCGTTCAATCACGGACACGGTGTTGCAATTTTGTATAACAGCCGGAAGTTTGATGAATTGGCCACGATGGAAAGCTAGCGAGAAAGCTATTTTAAAAATAAACAGAAAAATCTGATTCATTTGCTGCATATACAACATAAATCGGACTCATATTTGAAATATCATTTTTGTAATGACGTTGTGTCGAAATCGAATTTTTTATTTTCGGTAAGCTATAAATTGAGAAAAAGTTTCACAAATACAATACAACTTATTTATATTTACCAAAATGTACAGTATAGATAGCTATTTATTTCTAACAGCCGATTTCAGCTTTTCTTGCCATTTCTAGAGAAAGTTGATCGAATAGTACACAGTGTCGACAAGACCGATTCAGTGGCTTGATAGGGAATAGAGACTCCCCATTACTAGACCAGCTCTATTCCTAAAGTGGGCAAACGCCCCCGCCATGTGTGCGTTTGCGGTAACTGTGGGGCACTGACTTCGCCCAATGATTGAGCCATTGGAGACGCTGACTGTCATATTGGGCAATTAGGAAGGCACTGGCAACAAATCGAACAGTTACAGTTTTGTTTGATATAGTTTATTTACATTTTTCGGTGTTTAGAGTTTCTCGTTTAGCGTAGAATATTACGAGTTTTGTTAATCTATAATACTACAGTATTGTTTTGTAATAATTCAAGTCTAACTTATGGCTTAAGTTTATTGAAGCCTCGTTTGCCATAACCCTTTTACTGTATGTTGTCCGTCGTGTTTCGTTGTTTGAAGCGAGAATTTAGGAAATATGGTAGAGTATACCTATGATATATATGAACTTATTCTAGTCCAACAGTCTGATT